ATGTGGCCTGTGCAAAAATCGTGACATGTTTATTTAATTTTTTTTCAATATGTCAAAATAGCTAGGGCGTGGCGCAGTGGGTAGCGCTGTCGGCTCTCAGCAAGAAGTCCAAAGACATGCAGTTGGGCCAATTGGACATGGTAAATAACACCCCTAGGTGTGAGTGTGTCTGTGAATGTACACCGATCAGGCATAACCTTATGACCTTCTCATTGTTTCTACGCTCATTGTCCATTTTATCTTTACAGACTGTAGTCCATCTGTTTCTCTGCGTACTTTGTTAGCCCCCTTTTACCCTGTTCTTTAGTGATCAGGACCCCCATGGACCCTCACAGAGCAGGTACTATTTGGGTGGTGCTGGAGTTTTTAAACACTGTGTCCACTCACTGTCTACTCTATTAGACACTCCTACCTTGTTGGTCCACCTTGTAGATGTAAAGTCAGAGACGATAGCTCATCTGCTGCTGCACAGTTTGTGTTGGTCATCCTCCAGTCCTTCATCAGTGGTCACAGGACGCTGTTGGCTGGATATTTTTGGTTGGTGGACTATTCTCAGTCCAGCAGTGACACTGAGGTGTTTAAAAACTCCAGCAGCACTGCTGTGTCTGATCCACTCAGACCAGCGCAACACACACTAACACACCACCACCACCACATCAGTGTTACTGCAGTGCTGAGAATGATCCACCACCCAACTAGTACCTGCTCTGTGAGGGTCCATGGGGGTCCTGACCACTGAAGAACAGGGTAAAAGGGGGCTAACAAAGTATGCAGAGAAACAGATGGACTACAGTCTGTAACTGTAGAACTACAAAGTGCACCTATATAGTAAGTGGAGCTGATAAAATGGACAATGAGCGTAGAAACAAGGAGGTGGTCAGAATGTTATGCCTGATCAGTGTATATGTCTGCCTGTCTGCCCTGTGATGGACTGGCGGCCTGTCCAGGGTGTTCCCTGCCTTCTGCCCAATGACCACTGGGAAAGGCTCCAGCTCCCCCACGACCCAGAAGGATACGCGGCTTAGAAAATGTGTGTGTGTGTAAACTAGCTAACTTTTTTCAATAAGCTGAACTACCTAAACTACATAAATAGAAATTGTGCAGATTCCATATTTAAGTTTGTTCACTGAAGAGGATGTGGTAACTTATTTTCATTTAGAAGAACAGCAAAACAGCATAATTCGACCAGGTGTTCCACAGCAGTCCTCAGGCCCCTTATTTGAGAACCACTGCTATACTGTGACCCTAAGCTGGGATACTAAAGGCCAGTGTAGGTAAGTCTCATGTTTCCACCCACTGCCAATTTTCTTTTATTCAGAATATGATATATTTCCAAAGGTATCCAGAGGCACCTGTTCAGCAAATTCAGCTATTTTAAGGTGCACCCATTGCTGAAACAAGTGTTCAATTACACACACACACACACACACACACCTACACACACACACACACACACATACACACACACACACACACACATACACACACACACACACGCACTAAAAAGTGTTTCATCAAATAAACCTAAAAAAATGTGGTAACAAGCAATAGAACTAGTTTTGCTCAACAAATTAATTTAAAGAATCACTTATTCTAAGTATTTATTTAGGTTGAATAAAACTAGTTTACTTACTTTTTAGGTTCATCTGAGGAAACACTTTTTACAGTGCAGCTTGTAAAATCTTCATACACCATAAAAAGTGGCTTCATGTGGTAACAAGCAATTAAACTAATTTTATTCAACTTCAAAAACTACACTGAAAGAATTGTTCATTCAAAGTATTCGTTTAGTTTGAATAAAACTATTTAATTTACTTGTTACCACATGAAGCACTTTTTTAAGTAGATCTGATGGGCCACTTTTTACAGTGTAGAAAAGCATTGAGTGTAGAATGAGATGCTTTGGAGCAGCACATGAGTTTAAGATCACAATGCCCAATTCCAAGCCTCAGCTAGAGGGGTAGAAACCCCCCCCACCCCACCGCCCCATCATTGGGCTGTGGAGTAGTTACTTGGTTTCAAAAGTAACACTGAATGAGGGAATGTCTACAAACTTTTGGACACAAAGTCTAAAGGATTAGAGTTTACAAGAATGGTAATATAACAATACAAGGAAAAAACACATTTTAATATTGGAAAAGAACCTTAGGGTTGTCCTGCCTACTTACTCTAAAGGATTAGATCTCTGACCACTGTGTGGAATATAAATATTGCATTCATTACTAGAAAAGCATCCTGTTTTCATTTCGACCATGTCAAACAGACTATATATGTATTTTGGAGTCTTACTCCAAAATACTGTATATCTCTGTTGTCGGAAGAAAACATTGTATCTCCAAAATGGTAACTTTACAAGAGAAGGAAAAAAAACATACTTTACTTTTAATGTAAGTCAATGGAACCAGACTTTTTTCCCCCCCAAGTCATTTTGGGCCGCTTCTCTTGGTCCTTTCATCATAAAATTTACAAAAAAATACAAGCTGCTTCGGGTTTCCTCCCAAAGACATGCAGGCCAGTTGAAGATGCTAAATTGCCCCTAGGTGTGAAGGTGTGTAAGAACGTGTATCTCTGCCTGTCTGCCCTGTGATGGACTGGCAACCTGTCCAGGGTGTTTCCTGCCTTCCGCCCAATGAGCACCAAGATAGGCTCCAGCTCCCCCTGTGACCCAGGAGGATAAGCGGCTTGGATGATGAGTGAGTGAGTAAGTTAAAAGAAAAAAAAAATAATGAAAATGGCATTTAGTGCATTTTGGAACAAAGGCTATTCATATAGAATAAGATCCACAAGCCCCCCCATATTAATGGAGACTGGGGTTAACTGAAGGCTTCCACTGGCCAGTGGAGACTGTGACAAGCACCCTCTCTGTAGCTTCAAACTGTAGCTTCTTATCAAAAAGCACTTCTCATCAATATGTTTAGGCTGGAGTAGAGCATGTTAGAGAGTTCAGGCCGTTCTAAACGTGATTTCCCTTTAGATGAATTCAGAAAGCCCAGTCTTTGAGGGTGGTACAGTGTTCCAGGCCTTTGCCTTGTGTGCCTCAGAAATGAGAGTGATTGTGCTGTTTTCATCCTCAGATCAAAAAGTAACACATGCTGACCTCTGCTGGTGTTAGGCAAAATAGCCAGCATCAAGAGCTCTGTTCAGCACATGAAGGACACATCCACAACACAAAACACGTCATATTATCCTCTATTTGGAATTTAATTTTGAAACCAAAAAGCTATAGCTTATATATAGCTTATATTATAACTATCTATAAGCTATATCAGTCATAGGAGAATGGTGGCTATCAGGATCAGGAAGTGTGAATATGAGGACAAGTCTTATAACTGACACCTGAATGTAGTTATTAAACACAGCAATAATGTGAATATAATGAGAAATACTGCACATGATTCGTTCAGCTATAGCATTAAAACGACCTCCTTGTCCATTTTAATCGGCTCCACTTACCATATAGGAGCACTTTGTAGTTCTACAGCTACAGACTGTTCTCTGCATACTTTGTTAGCCCCCTTTAACCCTGTTCTTCAGTGGTCAGGACCCCCACAGGACCACCAGGTACTACTTGGGTTGGTGGATCATTCTTAGTGATAATGACGTGGTGGTGGTGTGTTAGTGTGTGTTGCGCTGGTGCGAGTGGATCAGACACAGCACTGCTGCTGGAGTTTTTAAGCACTGTGTCCACTCACTGTGCACTCTATTAGACACTCCTACCTTGTCAGTCCACCTTGTAGATGTAAAGTCAGAGACAGTAGCTCATCTGTTGCTGCACAGTTTGCATTGGTCATCCTCTAGTCCAGTGTTTCTCAAGCTCGGTCCTGGAGGCCCACTGTCCAGCACATTTTAGTGCTTTAGCCCAACAGCAGGCTGGTAATGAGCTGATTAGTTGGATCAGGTGTGTTGGGAGCAGGGAAAACAATGCGCCTTATTAACGCGTGGGAACAAGATCCTAATGCGTGGCCACGCCTTAGTAACGCGTGGGAATGAGATGATTAAGTCGTGGCCATGACTTAGTAAGGCGTGGGAATGAGATCATGTCTTACTAAGTCGTGGCCACGCATTAGGATTTCGTTCCCACGCTTTACTAAGTCGTGGCCACGACTTAATCATCTCATTCCCACGCCTTACTAAGTTGTGGCCACGCATTATTTTTATTTATACAGGATGATTAAGTCGTAGCCACAACTTAGTAAGGCGTGGGAACGAGATCACGGCTTACTAAGTCATGGCCATGCATTAGGATCTCATTCCCACGCCTTACTAAGTCATGGCCACGCATTAGGATCTCGTTCCCATGCTTTACTAAGTCGTGGCCACGACTTAATCATCTCATTCCCACGCCTTACTAAGTCGTGGCCACGCATTAATTTTTTTATTTATGCATACATACACATATACATACGGAGTCCCACTGGTGACATCCTGTATAAATAAAAATAATGCGTGGCCACGACTTAGTAAGGCGTGGGAATGAGATGATTAAGTTGTGGCCACAACTTAGTAAAGTGTGGGAACGAGGTCCTAATGCGTGGCCACGACTTAGTAAGCCGTGATCTCGTTCCCACGCTTTACTAAGTCGTGGCCACGACTTAATCATCTCATTCACACGCCTTACTAAGTCGTGGCCATGCGTTAGGATCTCGTTCCCACGACTTACTAAGTAGTGGCCACGCATTATTTTTTATTTATGCACACATACACATATACATATACACACTCACTCACTCACTCACTTTCTCTCTCTCTCTCTCTCTCTCTCTCTCTCACACACACACACACACACATAACACACACACATACAAGAGGAAAGCCAGTTAATCAAGTGTCTCTCCATAAAGAAATCACAGAAATTCAAAAATATTACTTTTCTTAGTTTCTACAAGATGTAAGGACTGGAGCAGTGATTTAAATTCCACTCAAAACAGGGACGGGGTTGGCGAAAAGCCTCTTCTAGAAACGCTCGGCTCCCTCCGTGTGACGCTGCCGCTGCGTGTGACGTCAGCGCGTCAGCTGTTTTGTGTTTACATCGCGTCGCTCTTGTGTTTGTTTGTTGTTGTTCTCCGCAGCGAAGTTGAGCTCCGTTGTTTTCTGCGCCCAGGATGTCGTAGCCGAATCCGGAAAGTACGCGGCCGCGCAGTCGATGGACAGACACGCCGCTGTTTCGCATGAAACAGCTGCTCGTTTCCGCACGGTAAGGGCGAACGAGACACGGCGGACTGACTGGCAGCGCCTGTGGCTCCTTCGAGGCACTGTTTTGTTTTCGCAGCTAGCGCGGCTAAGTTAGCCGAGTTAGCGCTGCTTCTTCCGTGGCGCTTCGTATATTTAACCTATTTAATTCCGACGGACGAGGACAGTACGGCGTTTCTCATTTGTCCAGTTGTTAAAATTAACCTGCGTGAGAGCGTCGCTTCACTCGTCTTTCGTGTTATTTTGCAAAGCTGAAAGCTTCTTGGTCGCTAGCTTCTTGTTCGAATTTCCCCGTTCCACCTTAAATTGCGCAGCAGTTGCATGTTGGCGCTTCAGGCATCTGTACGTAACTGCTGCACTATTTAAGGTGGAACGGGAAAATTCGAGTAGGAAGCCAACTTGTCTCGTCGATTTTTTTTATTTTTCTGTTTGGCAGTTACTACCTTAGTTACCTCGCTCGCTTTGCCCACTCTTTGTTTTTCTGGGTCTTAGTTAATCATTGCGAAATTAAATCTTGCTTTCCATCCAAGAGAGCTAAAGTAACGCAGGGTCGGTCAGTGTGGCTGTTTTGCGTGATAAAGTGCTTCAGAAGACTGTTCAGTTTTCTGAAAAGCGCTGTATAAATCAAACATCTTACTATTGTTGTTGTTGTTATTATTATTATGATTATAGTTTTCACAGCCCAGCAATCTCTATGTTTGTAATCTGTAGGTATACATTGCATATATTGCACATATATGCTTGACCCTATATTTCCACGTAGTGGTCAGAGAGTATAGTCTAGTGTAGTCATTTGCTGTTGAGCAGCAATTCATGTCATCCTCAGTTTACAGTGGTACAAGATCAAAGGACTGGCCAGTAGCACATGGTTGTGAAGGCCTCAAGTGCCTTATTGGATTGCCCCTATTTGGCGTTCCTCGAAATTACTTGAATTGGTCTTAGATGTGTTTTGTTGTCCTTTGCAGACTGCCTGACTACTTCAACTGATAAACAAATAACCCTCTGGTCTAAATGGAGCCTCTGGCAGGAGTTCCAACTGGGGCATAAAAGACTGTGTCACTTTTCGCTTGGTATTGTTTGACTTCCTGAAATAGAACAGCCAGTCGTCTCCTCCAGAGTGAAAAAAGCAATGATAAAAAGCTGTGCCGTCTTTTAATATACAATGAAACTTTAATGTCCTTTATTTGTTACACTGTATGACTCATGAACAGTTTAATCAGTCTTTATTATCGATATAGCTTACTTGGCAACCAGACATTAGATAACACTGCAAGATTACAACTGTTTGGAATAAAATATAGGGCTACAGTGTTATTAAAAGATGAGGATTTGTAATTGTGAAACGCTCTTTCATCAGGACTGCAGTGTCTTATAACCATAGCTCTGTGCTACATGAAAGAAAAAGCATGAAAAAGATGCTATTTAACAATTGTTATGATAAAGTAAATGAACAAAAGTGAATAAACAAAGATAATAAAGTAAATAATGTGATTGAAACCTGTTTACCAGCTGTTATTTTTCAGTTACATAATTTAATAATGAATCACAAACCCTATTGTTGTAATTGATACATTAATTCATATATATTCATATATTGTTATATATGTATTTCTCACCCCAGACAGTGAAAGGCCTCAAGCAGGTCAGACCCTAGACTCTCGCTCTCCTTTCACCATGGGTGGTGCTGTCAGCGCTGGAGAGGACAATGACGAGCTGATCGACAACCTGAAGGAGGCTCACTACATCCGCTCAGACCTGGTGGAAAGGGCTTTCCGAGCCATTGACCGAGCCGATTACTATCTGGAGGAGTACCGGGACAGTGCCTACAAAGACTTGGCCTGGAGGCATGGCAATCTCCACCTTTCTGCTCCCTGCATCTACTCTGAGGTGATGGAGGCCTTGGAGCTGCAGCCTGGCCTGTCCTTCCTCAATCTGGGCAGTGGCACGGGCTACCTCAGCACCATGGTGGGCCTCATCTTGGGTAAGTTGCCTGTTGGCCACTTTTAAAGAAATAGTTTGGTGAAAAATCAACTTGGCATCATTTTTCTTTAAATCCTGATGTAGTTGATCAGCCAAGGCATGTTTGGTGTCCCCTCTTTAGTTGGCATTGGGCCTATAGCTAATAAGTAATGCATATATCACACCATTTACCATCATCTGAACTGTAAACCTGAATCAGTGCACACTTGATTCAAGTAGTGAAATAATCTCAAACAGGCTTTCTTATATGGGTTCTAACACTATGATGTATTTCCATCCTTCAGTATGCACAAAACTACGGTCAAAATTCGAAACCTGCCTTTTAGGTATGCAGTGCATCTTTGTATTTAAGGTTACAGTGTGTGATTGGCTAGGCATGCAGTTTACACAATGATAATTCCTTTACTGCACTACGTATGTATTACAGCACTACACTCTCAGAAATAAAGGTAGTAAACTGTCACTGGGGCAGCCCCCCTCTTGTCACTGGGGTGGTCCCCTCAAGGTTACCTCTCAGTACCTTTAGTCAGGGAACATAACTGTACCATAATCCACTGATATGATATTCTCTAAGCTGTACTGACTCCACACACCCCGTCTCGTCTCCAGGCTTTTTATTTTACTGAATATGAAAAAGGTACAAATACGAACTTTTCACCTGGAAAAACTTATTTAAGGTTCACAGTTAGAACTTAAAACCATTGTTGTGCCTTTGAGGGAACATTTACATTGTTTGTACCTTAATGAACAAAAAAATATACCTGTACAGTAGCCTTATTTCTAACAGTGCAGCTACTAGCCTTGTAGCTCCAGAGAACTAAAAAAAAGCAACACTAAACACCAAACATGTCTTGATGGATCAACTATTTTTGGGATAAGAGGGAAAATATATAGGTTAATACATATGGGTGCTTTATTTTATATATATATATATATATATATATATATATATATATATATATATATATATATATATATATATATATATATATATCGCTGTAAAACCTTCTGTCTCCAAAATGGTAACTTTACAGGGAAAGGAAAAAACTTACTTTACTTTTAATGGAAGTCAATGGAAGCAGTCCCCAGTCTTTTGGGGTCGTTTCTTTTGGTCCATTCGTAATGAAATTTACACACAATGTAAAGGGCAACAGGCATTTTCGAATTATGTCAAAAGCTAAAAAACTGGAGATACAAGGTTTTCTTCTGTTAGCAACTATATATATATATATATATATATATATATATATATATATATACACATAATTACTGTTATTACAGGACTACAGTGTGCAAAAGTTAGGGACCACCCATCATATTTCATTTCCAGCCAAAATAGCCATTAAGTGCAATCCACTTTCATGAGGAAAGGGAAAGTCAGTTGAAAATAAGTGAGTTTTCAAAACTGGAGTTGAAAAATTATTTTACAAAATTGGACAATGGTGCAAGACCTGGTAGACCACCAAAACTGTCACAGTCAGATAAATGGTACTTAAAACTTTTAAGAGATAGAAAATCAGAAAATCAGGCTCCACTCTTGCCTCAGATCTGAAAAACCCACTGGTGAGAAGACAGCTAACACTGTGGGTATGTAGGTGTCACAAAACTGTCAGTGAGAAAAGGAAATGTACAAAAAAGAAGAAAATTTCCAAATCAAACAAAGAAGCTACTGGTGTTCACAGATTAATGAACTGGCTTCTTCAAAACTCAGATCTCAGGATCTCTGAATGTGTGAGAAGCAGAAAATGCAACCAACTTCTAAGACTCACACTCAGTGTAAAGTGGTGTGTGGAATGCAGAAGGGCTGATCTCCCTCTGATCTTCGTGGTGTTTACAGGTCCGTTTGGGGTGAACCATGGCGTGGAGCTGCATGCGGATGTGGTGGAATATGCCTACCAGAAACTGGACTACTTTATTAAAACCAGCGACAGCTTTGACAAGTGAGCTGTGTCCAGTAGGATATTTTTAACCTTTGCTTGGGAAACCCCAGGCACATTGTTTCTATGTGTTTGCATCACATAGTATGTAAGGTTTTCATCCGAGATAGCATCTTCGTATGTGTGTGTTTTATGTTTATATTTGCTTAAAGTACCTTCTTGACATTGATTCATTCACAGATTTGTACACTTCTAGTCATTTGAGGTGTAATTTGAATCAGTGACTCATTCAGCTGTGGCACAGTTTCTGCAGGGGCTGTTATGCCACCGGGACTGGAATTTGAGTCCCATATGCCTAGGCTTTCTGCCTGCTCCTGATGTAAGCCGTGTATCAGCCTCCATCAACTGGGTTGAGCTGCTTTGTTATACTGCATTCATGCAGTGACAGCGTTCATATTGGAAAAAACCTGTTACACTGGGATCTGCCTACAGCTAAACTTGGAAGAACGGAGAACATTGGCAGGGATATGTAGATAAAAATGATGTAAATGGTTGAAACGTTTAAAATTCTGTGTATAAATGTTCTGCGGAGTTTTTTATAGTGGACCCTTTTATTACTTTTATCATTTTGAAGCTATACAGACTTTATACCAGCGCAACATCCACTTACACTACTATGTTAGGGTTTCTGCTGTGCTGACAGTGGTCCACCAGAACACCACACAAATGATATCGAGCCAGTGGTGGTTCCCTTTTAAGTTGATGGCTGTGTTGCTGGGAGCTGATAAACAGGGCTACAGTCAATAATTGTAAATCTACAAAGTGCATCTCTATAAACTGGCAACTCTGTTGATTTCATGAACTGATCAAATGTTTTGCAGGTTCGAGTTTTGTGAGCCCTCCTTCGTGGTTGGGAACTGTCTGGAAATCCCCCCAGAGAGCCGGCAATATGACAGAGTCTACTGTGGGGCTGGAGTTCAAAAAGAGTATGAGAACTACATGAAGAACCTGCTGAAAGTTGGTGGGATCTTAGTTCTCCCTCTGGAGGAGAAGGTCAGTACATATACATATATATACAGAGCTTTTTTTATGTTATCGTTTAGACCAGGGGTCGCAACCCAGATGTTGAGAAGAGCCGTTTTGTCCTCTCAACAAAAATCAAAACACCTTCAGAGCCACGACATTTTATGTCCATTTTACTGAAGTACTGTTTTACCATCTTGGCTGTAAATATGTCTCAGTATGTGCTGATGTCCTAGTGTAGACTAAAAAACATAATATAAATGAAAACGCACTTACTTTGCTCTGCTTCAAGCTTTAGCTCAGCTATAGCTGCTTTTCTCACATCTCCGGCAGGAAACTTTTACTCAAAATTGGAATAGTTTCTCAACGTTTGACTTTTTACGAGGCTGAGGTTGCTTCTCGTTCACCAGATTCTTGTTCGAATTTTTACATTTCACCTTAAATGGAATGTAACTGCGGCACCATTTAAGGTGGAACGGGAAAATTTGAACAAGAAACTCCAGCTTCGCGACTTTTATTTTCTGACAGTTTCTCTTTGCAGATTAAACGAATCAGGAAACTAGCTGAGTGCTTATAAATGCAAATAAGTCCATTCATCTCCAGATTATTGATGTTCGTCTTAAATCTTTCTCTTCGTCTTTTCAGCACACGAGTGGTCATCAACCCACAGACCTCTCAGACAACAAAGTAGATACAAAGTCTATACATGGGGTACTTCAGGATATCCAGTGAGGATACTTACTTTGAGAATAATACAGTTGACATTATAAGCAATACACAAGCCAAAAAACTAGATCATAATTCATCAATTATATACTGAATAATGCACGTAAAAGCATGTGTTTGGGCAAAAAAGAGTTTCTAAAACTTACTTTAAAGGCCTTAATGTCTAAGCACCTCTGTATCTATATAAATCAGATCAGTATAAAATGTTTCAAAACGTTTTTACTGCATCTTTTTTATTTTTGTGCTGATTTAATGCTGTTCTTTTGATTAACATACGATAGGTTTCTTTCCAAAACACACTGTATGCCTTCTTTCTAATGCATTTTCTCATGATATACATTGTTGGATTTACACATACCAGAAATATTAGTGCTTTATTATAATTAATGCCACCTTTATTAGAGAAATAAATCATATTTAAAAAAAAAAAAAGTGTGTTAAACATCAGCTGTTATTCTTTTAACCCTTGTGTGGTGTTGATGTGTTTGTTACCCTGTGGTCTGATGGGCCCACCGCATTAATGTTTTTTTAAATCAATACAGACATAACAATTTATGTAAAAATACCAGATGTTTAAAATATCACAAGTGTCCAGCGTAGGGTTCTCCTTTAGCAGCTGTAGCCAGTCAGCAGCCTGTCCATGTTGTCCACACACACAGACACACACATACTAACAGCAGGCCATGTAGGAGGAGAACAGAGTGAAGGACACAGCACCTCCACACTTTTACTCCCCGCAGGTTCACCCAACACCACATGTGTAATATAAATGTGTGGGGGGTGAACAGAGTGAAGACACTGAAAATGGGTTATTTTATATGTTCTTCACAGAAAATGAGCAAAGGCCAAGAATCTGAGGTTGAAATAATAATAAATCATCATTTTTTTTCTTTTGGCAAACATTGAAAACGGGTCCCACAGACTCCAACACCACACAAGGGTTAAACCTCTTTATATCCAGCATTGCTACAAATACATACAAGCTTTCAGAGCATCCAAATTTAGTGCAGAAACGTGGTAGATATTTCTAACTGAAATGACTGTGTAGCAGAGTTGCTGATGACGTGTTTTCTGAATATTTGTGTCTTGCAGCTGACCAAGATCACCCGCACGGGTCAGAACACCTGGGAGACCAAGAAAATCATCGCAGTGACTTTTGCTCCGCTGGTGCAGCCCAAACAAAGCATCAACGGGGGAGGCAGGAGTGTGCCCCTGCGTGAGTACGCTGCAGTACAGCCTGTCAACCCTCATCAGGCTTCGTTATTGATTCAGAACATTCGGGGGGGCAAAGTACTTCAAGTGTCCTGAATCAGTGCTTCTCAGTCCCACTTCTGCAGCCACCAGGCATCGCATATTTTTGTGGTTTGTCTGTCTTTGCACACCTAGTCGACAAATCGCTTCGCTCTTTAAGAGCTACAGTCTTGTGCGAAAGTCAGAGACTTCCCTTTGTTTATTTAATTTTCTGCCAAAATTGCAGTTAAGTACAAGTTATTCATTTTTCAGGAGATATTTCTGAGGATATTAGATATAAGATAATCTACCTGCATAAGAAAGGGAAAAGTCAAGAGCTGGTAGACCATCAAAACTCTTACCATCAGATAAACAGTGCTTTTATCTTCGAGAGACTCGATCTCCTCTCTTGCTTCAGATCTGAAAAAAACAAAGGAGTTTCTCTCCATCCTTCCTCTACGAGAAAACTCAGTGCTGTAGGTCTGAAAGGATGTGTAGCTGTCAAGAAGCCGTGAAGGAGAAAAGGAAACAGACAGTGTGCTTGAGATTACTCATATCATGAGAAGGAGAAAATGCAACCAAATGCACGACTGAACTTTGGAAGTGTGGGAAAATATCCCTGCAGATTTCTTTGAAAAAATGAAAGCAAGTCTCTTAAAAAAAGTGTAAGCTGTATTAAAAGCTTTTGCGTAATTTTTATTTTTTTTTGTTTTTTTTTTCTGGCTATTTTGACTGGAAATGAAATAAACACAGAACATGGGAAGAAAAAAAACACTGAACGAAAAAGAAAATTTGTTTTAAAATAACATTAAAACAAATAATGATAATTATAACAAGCATTAATAATTAAATAAATAAATATTTATTTAATAAGTAAATAAAAAATGAGTACCAAAAAAGTACCAATAAAACATGAGTGTAAAATAAAAATGCAAAAATGGACATTTTAATTACTTAGTGTGGATCTGTGTCTTGAGGGAGAGAGGTTCCAAGTTTTAAAGCTAACATTATTGATAAATTATATGGATAAACATTACCACACATACATAAATTCATGTAAATATACACCGATCAGGCATAACATCATGACCACGTCCTTGTTTCTACCCTCATTGTCCATTTTATCAGCTCCACTTACTATATAGGTGCACTTTGTAGTTCTACAGTTACAGACTGTAGTCCATCTGTTTCTCTGATACTTTGTTAGCCCCCTTTTACCCTGTTCTTCAGTGGTCAGGACCCCCATGGACCCTCACAGAGCAGGTACTATTTGGGTGGTGGATCATTCTCAGCACAGTAAAACTGACGTGGTGGTGGTGTGTTAGTGTGTTGTGCTGGTCTGAGTGGATCAGACACAGCAGTGCTGCTGGAGTTTTTAAACACTGTGTCCACTCACTGTCCACTCTATTAGACACTCCTACCCTGTCAGTCCACTTTGTAGATGTAAAGTCAGAGACGATAGCTCATCTGCTGCTGCACAGTTTGTGTTGGTCATCCTCTAGTCCTTCATCAGGGGTCACAGGACGCTGCCCACAGGACACTGTTGGCTGAATGTTTTGGGTTGGTGGACTATTCTTAGTCCAGCTGTGACACTGAGGTGTTTAAAAACTCCAGCAGCACTGCTGTGTCTGATCCACTCAGACCAGCACAACACACACTAACACACCACCACCACGTCAGTGCTACTGCAGTGCTGAGAATGATCCACCACCCAAATAGTACCTGCTCTGTGAGGGTCCATGGGGGTCCTGACCACTGAAGAACAGGGTAAAAGGGGGCTAACAAAGTATCAGAGAAACAGATGGACTACAGTCTGTAACTGTAGAACTACAAAGTGCACCTATATAGTAAGTGGAGCTGATAAAATGGACAATGAGCGCAGCGTATAGTATATGTGCATCCTCTTTTACATCTCTTTCATCTTTCCTCCCTTGTCTCCTGTGCACAGCTGTGTTCGAGGTGCGAACGCTGCAGGATCTGGCGCGGATCTCCATCCGACACACCCTACGGCAGCCTACGGCGGTGGCGGAGGGCCGCACCAAGCGACGGGTTTCTTTCCCCGGCGCTCGCGCGATGCACCGCTACGGCCCACGTTTTGAGCGGAGACGCTTCTGCCGACGCTTCTACCGCCAGTGTGTCAACTCTGTGGTGATCCACGACTCCATGATCCCTACAGCGGCCATGGACGAGTGCCAGTACCCGGGCGGGGTGGAGGAGGATGAGGAGGAGGCCAAGGAGGAAGAGGAGAGGGGCTGCCGCAGGGCAGGGGAAGACCTGCCGGAGGAGGATGAGGAGGAGACCACCGGAGACGAAGACGAGAAGAGCAAGAGCGGCTGCGTGAGGGCGGAGCCGCCGGTCAACGTCTTGAGGGAGAGGATCCTGGGACTTCCTTTGCCCGAGCCGCTCAAGATGTACCTGCTGTATTACCGTGACAAATGAGGTATTACTGTGACGTCTGAGGTGATTTGAGATTCAACAGCCTTTCGCATCCCCACTCCTCCGCTAACCTAAGCAACCCCAGCTGGACTAATCCTTCGGTTATGGTACTATAACTGTCCTTTGTCCTTTAAAGAAGCAAGGCTAGATTCTGGAGTCACAAATGAGAATTGAAGTGGGTTTCTCTACCGTCTTAGATTTGTTTGAGCTCATTTTTGAGCCTCTTCTGAGAGCATTTTCTCATTTTAGCAGTATTCCCCTCTCCAGATGCAGTGAAATATCAAATATCAAATGGATGTACATGTACATGACCTTCACGGTGCTGTCACAAGATTTTGGGTGAGATTAGAGCTTGTTGCAGTGAAATGACTGTGAGTAGCATCGCTTTGGCTGGACGTGAAGGACAAAAGCCTCGTTATTTTTCTATAGCTTTACGAAAGACCCCAAAGTCGGCCCTCCACTGTTGAACTTCTTTTTCCTTGCCTACTGTGTTCTCTCTTCATAAGGTACTGGATGCTGTTTGCATGTGTTGTGCTATTGTGCACCTGCATTTTGTCAGTATTCAAGTTTGTGGTGATGCGTTTCAACACTTTACACTGTGTAAACCAGATTACCACCTGGGGGTGACGCTACATTTGACACGGTCATTGTAATGTCCGGTTACCCCGGTAAGGACGTGCACATCACAGTTCCTATCAACTGAATTGAGTACAGTGCCCCAAGGTCTCTCCACATATTCATCCAAACTGAATTACCAAAAGCTTTATAATTGTCAACCTGAATGATCAAGTGATACTGTCCATTTACCAGGATACATCAGTTGTTTTTTTTTTTGGTCTACTCTGCATTTGCATTACATCATAAAGTCAAAGTTACTTTTTAAAAAAAGAAATGAGAAATGATTTTGCTCAGAAATCTGTCCCTACTCAGGAATATTGCAAGGTTCAACCTTTTTTTTGGATCATAGGCAGTTACAAAGACCAAAAATTGTCATATTGATTTTTTTCCAACCAAAAAACAAGAAAAAACAAGAATGCTTGTTGCATTGTTTTGTACTAACCTAATTGTAAAATAGGTTCTGTGAATGATGCCCAGCTATGAGCATCAAAATTATAAGGGATGGAGAAAATCCCAGGCCTCTACTCACCAGACTGGGTTTCTTTAAAAGTGCTTTTCCTTTACCTTTCTTTGATAATGGACAGTGAGACCAATGCTTGGTGGCCCTTAAAACCAAGATGTCATCATTAATAAGTTGTGGAAACATGTTTAAGGTAACAGCATATCTAAACGATAGTTTGAAATGATTGTATGCTTTTAGGTAATGTATAGATCTTTCAATAAATTTCCAAGTTTGCACATGCACTTCGGAGCTGTTACTGGTGAAGTCTGCAAATGTGTTGTGTTTTTGTTGACTTTAGCTTCCTTTGGAAATTTTGTTTACGTTCAGAGTCTTGCTTGAATTGTATGACTCGGAGATTCTGCAACTTCTGTTCCCTGCGCTCAAGAATTGTTTTGAAACAGCAGCGACTTCAGAGCAAGAATAGCTGAAATTGTGCGCAGCAGTAAAAATGTAGAATAACAAAAATGGAAACGTAGTACAGTCTCAGTATGATACAGCTGGTGCAAACAGAACTGTATCACGTATACATAAAATATTTGAATCCCACCCTTGATAATGTGTGTACATTATATGGCCAAAAGTATGTGGACACCCCCTCCTTATCAAGTTCAGGTGATTCCAGTTGCTAACAGGTGTTTGAAATCAAGCACATAGCCATGCAACCTGGTAGTAGAATGGGTCGTACTGAAGTGACTTTAAACGTGGTGCTGCCACCTTTGCCACAAGTCCCTGGCCAACTCTAAGTTCTATTGTTGTTAAACAGAAGCGAATTATCCCAATTATTGAGTTCAGGCCTTTCCAGTTGCTAACAGTGTTTAAAATCAAGCACATAGCCAAGCAACCTCCACAGATGAACACTGGCAGTAGAATGGGTCGTACTGAAGTGACTTTAAATGTGGCGCCAGATAGCAGTGGACCATGCAAATGCTACTGAGTGCTGCAGCACGTAGCTAGTAAAATCATCTAACCTTTGTTGCATTACCAGTTACAGTGTTCCAGGTTGGTATGGTGTAGTGGGTAACACCTCTGTCTTCTACGCTGCAGGCTAGGTTTCAATATCCCCCACCTAGGCAAGCAACCTACACTATATCAATGAGTCCTTGGGCAAGACTCCAAACACTACCTTCACCTACATGTGTAAAATGATCAAATTGTAAATCACTTTAGATAAGAGTGTCGGCCAAACGCCGTAAATGAGCTCCAAACTGCCTCGGAAACACAGTATGGTCTCAGTATGATACAACTGGTGCAAACAGAACTGAATCGCATATACAAAAAATATTTGAATCCCACCCTTGATAACGTTTTTTGGCCTAAAGTATGTGGACACCCCCTCCCAATTATTGAGTTCAGGCCTTTCCAGTTGCTAACAGGTGTATAAAATCAACACATAGCCAAGCAACCTCCACAGATGAACACTGGCAGTAGAATGGGTCGTACTGAAGTGACTTTAAATGTGGCGCTGCCATCTTTGCCACAAGTCAGTTTGAGGAATTTCTGCCCTGGCCAACTCTAAAGTTCTATTATTGTGAAATTGAGCGAATCGATGCAACAACAGCTCGGCCAAAAATCAGTAGACCATGCAAATTCACAGAGCGGGCCTACTGAGTGCTGCAGCACGTAGCTAGTAAGATCATGTAACCTCTGTTGCATTATCAACTAAAGTTCCAGGTTGGTATGGTGTAGTAACACCTCTGCTTTCTTCGCTGTAGACTGGGGTTCAATCCCCCCCTGAGTAAGCACCCTACACTATACCAATAAGAGTCCTTGGGCAAGACTCCAAACACTACCTTCACCTACCTGTGTAAAATGATCAAATTGTAAGTCGCTCTGGATAAGAGTGTCTGCCAAACGCCGTAAATGTAAATGAGTTCCAAACTGCTTCTGGAAGCAACATCGGAACAAAAACTGCATCTGGAGCTTCATGAATAAATTTCACTGCACTAACTGGATTTAGGGGATGCCAGAAGGATGCTACCTACCGGAAAGACCAGTGCCAACTAGTGTTTGTTGAAGAAGGGAATGGTTTCATGAGTTTGGTGTGGAGCAACTCCAGTGGCCTTCATTGAGCCCTGACCTCAACCCCACTGAACACGTTTGGGATGAATTTATAACGTCGGGTATGCGCCAGGCCTTCTCGTCCATCAGTGCCTGACCTCACACATGCTCTTTTGACTGACTGAGCAAAAATTCCCACAGATGCACGACAAAATACACATTAATGCCCATGGTTTTGAAATGGGATGTCCAACAAGCTCATATAGGTATGATGGTCAGGTGTCCACATACTTTTGGCCACATAGTGCATCTTCAGCTATTCATGCTGCTCTCCTATACACCGATCAGGCATAACATTAAACTCCAGCAGCACTGCTGTGTCTGATCCACTCAGACCAGCACAACACACACTAACACACCACCAACACATCAGTGTTACTGCAGTGCTGAGAATGATCCACCACCCAAATAGTACCTGCTCTGTGAGGGTCCATGGGGGTCCTGACCACTGAAGAACAGGGTAAAAGGGGGCTAACAAAGTATCAGAGAAACAGATGGACTACAGTCTGTAACTGTAGAACTACAAAGTGCACCTATATAGTAAGTGGAGCTGATAAAATGGACAATGAGTGTAGAAACAAGGAGGTGGTCATAATGTTATGCCTGATCGGTGTATATCTAGATGAATGAGGCCATTTCTGAGAGCATCCAGGTAACTCTACTCAGCCTAATATGGATCCACTGTACCTTTCTGAGGATAACAATAATTTCACCATTAAGTAGATAATCAATCTTTAATTAAAAAAAATCCAACAAGTAAAAGACACTGAGGACTCCTGCATTCTCGGACAGCCAAGTACTACATACACATCGTACATTTGGGTATTAGTGCATTAATGTCAAATATTTCTTTCCTTTTATGGTTGTTTTTAAAACAAGTTACAAAAAGCAGGTTTTGGTTCAGTGGATATGACTATACATTAGAGCGTAACAGGCATTTATCATCGCCTCTGTCAGGTACCAACACAAAGGAGTTCAACACATCCTGGACAAGCCATACGTCCATTTCCAACATCATAAACAGTCTCAACATCTCTCTCTCCTCTGAGAACAAGGGAAATTTCACGGTGCCTTTGTCGCACCAACTGTTGAAATGAATCCTCCAGCCATTCGGGAAACATCACAGAAGTGATCTTGTGACACAATCTTTAAAAAAAATCTTATATGCAAAAATATATTTGTACATAACATTAAATAATACAAATAATACAAATAGGAAAAAAAAACAATACATTCTACACCAAAGAAAACAACCATAAAAATGCATCTACAGCTGCTTGGATATAAAACAGACAAGTTCAGTACAGTAATAAGTTAGCATTATAAATGTTGCTATTTGACTGCATTCATCTTTATTTCTTTTTCTTTTTTTAATTCAACAGTATAGCAGAATTATTTACCCATATATATATATATATAAACTGTATACTATGTCACGGGGGGTTAGTTAAACCCTACAGTAGCAGCAAGCAATGGAATTACCCTTACTGGTAAGGTAGAGGGTGGGGTTTAGAGCATATCACGGTTTAGCAGTCCTAAAGGGGACAGAGACCATCAGTTCAGTAATACCTCTGTATCAGTGTTTCCTAAGCGTCGTCCTGGAGTTTCAGCATTGCGTATTTATATATAACTGTTATTATACCAAATACTCTATGGATACAGAGGACACATTCTTCAGATCGTGTCTTGTGTTTAAACTTTACAGGGCAGGTTTCAGTATTAATGGAATACTCGAGAATTTTCCAGCTGGATGTAGAGCTCAGCTGAATACCACAAACACTTCGCACTGTACTAGAAAAAGAACAGAAATCTGATTGACTCGAAACCGACTCATAATAGAAGTCACTGGGCGGGTGCTGAATTCCGTCACCAGTCATTTTTTCAGGCAAAAGTATTTGTAAATTAAGCTGTTTTTAAAAACTAGGAGGAACCCGTTTGTAGCCAACTGCCATTCTGTTCTAAGTAAATATGTATTGTGCATGAATATGAAAAAACCTTTGTGAAAGCAAAAACAACCAGAATTGCTTTTTACTGTCACTCCAGTGATTCAAAAGTTCAGCAACTGCTCTTTAAACCTTCATGTTTAAAGACTTACACAGAACAGATCTGTCAAATATGTAGTGAAGAAATACACGTGCATACATATATATATACATATATATATATATATATATATATATATACATATATACATATATATACATATATACATATATATATATATATATATAATGTTGTCGGAAGAAAACCTCATATCTCCAAAATGAATAAAATACAAAATACAGAAGGAAAAAACCTACTTATAATGTAAGTCAGTGGAACCAGACATATTTCCAAGTCATTTTGGGTCGTTTCTTTTTGTCCATTCATCATGAAATTTACAAACAATGTAAAGGGCAACAGGCATTTTGAAAATATGTAAAAAAAAAAAAACCTGAAAAATGACAAAAGTGGAGATACAAAGTTTTCTTCCGACAACAGATGTGTATGTATGTATGTACACACACACAGACACACATACATATATACATATATATATATATATATATATATATATATATATATATATATATCACCAGTCACAACTGGAAAAAATGTGTTATACAAAAGCGATAAAAATGCTGCAAAAATGTAACACCATGTGGAATATACTGCAAGAATAACATGGTGCACCAAACAATACAAGCTTCTAATTTGCTAGTGGAGTAATCGAATGTGTTGCATGTGATTTTGATTGTTTGTTTTGGCATGCAATTTACAGCGTGCAAGTTTTACTGTGTAAAGCCAGCCTAAAGTCTTGTACTGTCAGAATGCAATGGCTGGAGTTCAGAACATGCATTATATATAATATTAGATTTTTTTTTTTATTATTGTAAACCACATTAGAAAAATGTTCCAAAACAGCACAATGGCTTCTATTATAAGTATGCTTCAAATCAATGTTTTCCAGTTCAATGTTTTCCAGTGCCAGGATGTGCACTGAAATTGTCTGTGGTAATCGATGATACGATACAGATTCAGCAGATAGAGATTAGGATGAAAAATGCTGGAGTATTCCTTTAAATGCAGGCAAACAGAGACTCCCCATCCACAGATGTTTGGAAGGGAAAAGCACAGTGATGTTTCAAAACAGCTGTTAATGGTCAGCCTTCACAGTCCTTTGCTAGGGGCCTCGGATTCAATTATGAGTTTACAAGAATCAGTTAATTCCAAGGGACACTAACCATGGGGATGAAGAATAAAAACACCCTCCTCTCTTCTTTTTCATAAGTAAAAAGGGAATCTAAGGCACCTTGGAACCCCTGATGTTTTGGTATTTGTTGACCTGCAGTTCCCCACTCTCATCCGTCCAGCTCAGGTGACCCAAAGAGAACAGCATCTACTCGTTACAGCTTTGACTGACACATAGGTCCAATCCAGAAGTGTTCTACAGCCCCTTCTACCCCAATCCCTTAGGCTCTTAGTGCTAGAGGGATGTGGAGAAAGGGCTAAGGAGCCGCTGGAGAACCGAACCTGTGACGTAGTGTGCTCTCTCACTCACCGGATAACACTACAGCGCACGCCTTGAGACGAACAAGCAGAAAGGCTCGCCCCCCCCAGCTAGTGGAACCCTCCTAAAGTGAGAGCATTTAAATTTGTTAATCCTACAATTGGAAAAAAACATAACTAGATACGACTTAACATCTACACGCATCCATACACGCACCACAGTGTGATGGAGCAGACATGTGCTACCACAATGCCGGGACCAAGTGTGGTGGAAAACTTCACTCACCTCACACAAACAGCACACAAATCAGAAACCTGCAGCTCAAGTAAAGGGCCTAAGCCATGGAATTCGATCTCTGTGCCACTGTACACTAAGAACGAGGACGTTCTTAGTGAATTAGTAAGACTATACGTTGAAATTACACCAACAATTTTTTTTGTGCTCTGAGTGTTACATCTACTCACGTCTAAATACAAGGTAGTCCCATAACTTCACAGCTCCTTCATGCCTTTAATTCAGGAAAGCTTCCATTTTTTTATGTTTTGTGTCTTTTAGTGTTTTAACTATGATGGCGTTTTAGGACCACTGTTAATAAAAATAAAAATAGTAGGCTTCGAGAATAAAGTCGTACTATTTCGAGAAAAAAGTCGTAATATTTTGAGAAAAAAAAAACAACATTAAAGTGGCATTAATACCAGAAAAGGTCGCAATATTGTGGCTAAAGGCTTTGCAAAGTGAAAGCAGCACCTCCTCTTGTTAAATGAGGGGCGTTGAGGAGTTGGTGGAGTTATACTTTCAAATCAATTTCACCCTTAAAGAAACACTCAGTCTCCCTGTCTGTCCTGCACATCAGCACCAGCCTGTTATTAGTCTAAGAACCGGCTGAAACGGCTGAGCAGGAAACTGTGTTTATTTAGAATAAAGAGCCAGACGGACTCGGAGGAAACTGTCTGTCTGTGTTGTTGAAGGAGAATCTCAGGCAGGGTCGTCTACACGGCTATCGGTGGCTACATCTCCCCCCATTCAAAGAGGGCATGAAGTTTCACAGGCAGTGAGAATGATGATCAAAATGATCCACAGAGAGACAGGAGTGAGTGGAGCTCCGGCGCCAGTACAGCAACCGAGACCCCAATGCGTTATGGCAGCCCCCTACAGTTAGCCCACTTTATCCTCCAAATATTATGTCCATCCATCCATCCATCATCTAAACCGCTTATCCTTCTGGGTCGCGGTGGGGTGCTGGAGCCTATCCCAGCTGTCATTGGGCGGAAGGCAGGATTCCAAATATTATGTCTAAACATAACGACTTTATTCTCGAAATAGTACGACTTTTTTCTCGAAGTCTAATAATTTTATTTTTATTAACAGTGACCCTAAAACACCATCATATTTAACCCAGCTGCATGGTGTGAGTTTCAAAAGTGGTCCTAATAACATTTGCCAGCATTATAAAACTGGTCTCAAATCAGAATCAGAGAAGGAGAGGAAGATGTACATCTTCCTCAACTTGGACAGAGATTCTAATAACATTATTCTTCAGCTTGAAGTTCCAGATCATGGCCTCCCACAGCTCAGTCATTAAGTTTGTCTGTCTGTCTGGGAGGATGAAGGGACTGGAGAAGAAGTGAGGATTTAGGGATTGGGGGGGGGTGTCATTTGGGCACAAGACCACGGGACTGGGGGTAGAGAGGGGATCCCGAGCCAGAGGGGCTGTGGGCCGAAGTGGGAGTGCTCGCCTTCTTGCCTGTTTTGGGACGGCTGTGAAAGAGGGGATTGGGGATGGGACGATAAAAAATAATAATAACAATGAGGTTATTTAAAAGGGGAAACTTAACATAAAAACAGCTTAACATAAAAATAAAATAAATGCTATAGAAGTGCAGGTGATAAGCAGAACAGACAGAAGCAGAAAGAGGAGAGGGCATCAAAACAAAGGGGAGTGGTTCTCACCCTGACTTGGGCTTCTTGGAGAAGCCCCCTGCCATGGCACCAGGGCCCAAGCCTGGACTGGAGCCCATGTTAGCGTAGAAGCCGGAGGCATCCACCTGGATCTCGTCCTCCTCCCTTAGAGCATCCTCCAAGGCTGCCGCCACCTTAGGAGCGATCACGGGCTCTTCGTACTCCTTAGTGGTACGGGAAGGCAAGTCCAGCTCCAGCATTAGGATGTTCTCGGCCTGAGAGTGAAGGATGGGGCAGAGAGAGAGAGAGAGAGAGAGAGAGAGAGAGAGAGAGAGAGAGAGAGAGAGAGAGAGTGAGTCACTCAATCACCAATTCCGAATCAACAATTAGCCACCCAATGAGATGCACTATGACGTTAACGTGGCCTGATATTTTGATCCAATCCTGAATATAGCCTTGTCTGAACCCAACCTGACCCACTGCACCAAACCAGCCCTCAACCTGGAAAAAGAATGTTCTTTTTCTTCACTGTTCTAGTACAAAACAGTTCTAGCCTAAAGGGAACAAAACTGGCTGATAAGCGATTTTGCTGTTGATGCGTTACTCAGGCTGCTCTCCAAAGTTGTTCACACCAATCAGACGTTCGAACTTCTGTTGTTTTTTTAAAACATCCATAATGTGACTCAATAAATTAATCAATAATAATAGTTACCATCAACTCAGATAACCTCAATCAGGTGATTATGTAATGACAGGCCTGTTCAGTTAGATTGTAGCACAGAGACAATGGCAGCTGTCATCAAATCATCAAGAAACGGTGATAAGAGCAGGGTTGGTGGCCTCTGTTATACAGTACCATGTGCAATAAAATTACTATGGTGACTGGGTGACTGATGTATTAATATTCACTTACTATATTAATATCTAGGGGTATAATGAATGACACTAAGCACACGATTCGATTAATAAGTCTGGATTCAAGATTCAATATCCTCAAAATAATTTAAACAAATAAACAAACAAAAAAAATGGATTATGTTGTAGCACAACTTACTAACGACACTAGCCTTGGGAGGCAGGAGGAATGCGGGAATAAGTTGGTGCTGATTGTTTGACCATCAAACATTGCAACTGTATTAGATAGCATAATTAACAGATTGTAATTTCTCCACAATGCACATTGTCACAGCTTTGCTTTGCGATATCATAATACAATGTTAAGCCTCTACTAATATGTAGAGTTACTTAGTTACACAGCATATTTGGCCGTATAGACTCACCAGCCATTTTATTGTATCCTTGTATCTACACACATTATCCAATTTATCAGATCCAACTGCCATATAGGTACACTTTGCAGTTCCTCAATTACAGATTGTAGTCTCCCTTTACCCAATTAATCAATGGTCAAGCCCCGCCCACCCCCAACAGGACTACAGTGTAACCCTGTAGCGTATTTTGCTGCAGAGAGTCTTTTAAACAACTCCGTATCACTCTGTCGACTAGACGATTAAAAACACAATAGATAAGCCACTGTCTCCAACTTTACGACTACAAGGTGGACCAACAAGGTAGGAGTGTCCAATAAAGTGCACAGCAAGTGTTTACAGTGTTTATAAACTTCAGTAGTACTGCTGTGTCTGATCCACTCATACCAGCGCAACACAAACTAACATGCCATCTCCATGTCAGTGTGTGGTGGTGGTCCTGACCATTGATTCACAACTAACAAAACTATCCAGTGACACAGATGGACTTCAACGTGTAATAGAACTACAAAATGCACCTATATCTTTAGTGTACTTGATAAAAGTGACAAGCAATGTAAGTACAAGATCGCTGTATCTAATAAAGTGGCCAGTCAGTATATCTATCTTTAGCTCTTAATTTAATGACACTAGGCAGATGATCGACCTAATTACCACCGACTATCACAAATGCAGCTGAGAAATCCCCCTCAGAGGGGACTGCAATGGCAAGAAGATGCACTTCTACTACTAGAACCAGAACCAAACCTGCATAAACCAGTAAAACAAACGCATTTCCAATGCATAGTGACTAAGCCTGCTAATAGGCAACACTTGGCGAAGGGCAGCATGGTTTTAATTAGCACTTTGCTTTCCTAATCTGGAATGACATCACCATGGTGTAAAGAGTGTCACACACCCTGTATCTGGCATCAGGCCGCATCATCATGGCCATGCGAGCGTGCTGACTCAGAGGCCTCCTGTAGCCCACTGCAGACACCGGTCTCGTCATCATCTGCTGATCACTGAGGGAGCGAGGGAGGAAGAGAGAGAAAGAGAGAAAATTTAGAAGCAACAGACACAGGACACTGAAGAAAACCCATACAAAGAAGTACACTGAACATCCTATCTTCAGTAATTAGGCTGATGCCAAGCCAGCTGCGCTAATATGCAAATGTATCTGTGTAATTGCATACTCTTGAATGCGGGTGATGGGTCTCATCTTCCAGGAGTCATCCTCCTCGTCAAAGGTGGCCCTCATGACAATCTTATTCTTCTCCTCCAGCGGGATAAAGTTCTCGATGATCAAATGCCTGGTGGGAATGACCCAAAAGACAAAGGTCAACACGGGCACCCTGCAGGGACAGCCTGGCAAGCAGATTGTAGTGCTAATTAAGTCATTTCCAATCCTCCAGGGCTGTGTTTTTAACTGCCTGTAATGGAGGCATCAGCAGTGAAGCAGCGCTGGGCCCTGACTTTTAGCCAGTCTGTTTAATCATGCAGACTAAATTGGGCCAGAGAGCCTTCACTGTTTATTACCATCTTCTCCTTAAAAGAATGTGCGCTATCCATCTCTGACTAGAATATACAAACACTCCACACTCCAACTAATACGCACATGCGCAGCCTAACAACAAGGGAGCTAACATGATTTTTGCAGAACTAGATCAATTGATTTTTTGTGCAGGCTTTTAAACAGATAAGGAGGGCAGGATGGGGATAATGGAAGTGTGGGAAGATCGGTGAGGGGAAAACACGACAAAACAACTTTAAAAGTGTAAAATTGGCTGAATAATTGGGAGAAATGGAAAAAGATAGATCAATAAAATGACCAAGGAAAGCTTTTCTGTGTAAACTTTGAGAGAAAACAAGGGTGAGATGAAAAGTGAAGTGTTCATACTTCAGTTTGAGTTCTCGGGTCAGCTCGTTCTGCGTCTGCTCCAGCTCCTGCCTCTCTTTAATGTGGTCCTCTTGGACATCATGAATCTCTGCCTTCACTGCTTGCAGCTTTGCAAAAAGCTGGGGGAGAGAGGAGGAGAGGGGGGGAGAGAAAAAGAGATGATAATCACCATAGCAATAGCAGCACAAGAAGCATACACATGCTCAGCCAGGCGGACAGAAATGACTCAAGCCTAGTCATGTATGAACAGGGAAGGGGAACGGGGAGTTTCTGGGACAGTTGGCCCCAAACAAATGATTTGGAAGAGCCGAGTTTGGAGCTAAAAATAAAACTGCTCACGTACGCTGGATCTTGCTTAATCTGATATTTGACAGTGCCAGTGAAAAAACATTCAAGCAGCAGCAAAGCTACGCAGAACAGAACTGCTTCCAATAGACCAACATCGACATTACTCATACATATTAGCAATGGCCTTTTACAGAGAAGCTGACCGCACTTTCTCAAATCCAGCACAAGATCTGCAATAATCAAACACTCAAACACAAACAAATACACAGATCAGGCATAACATTATGACCACCTCCTTGTTTCTACGCTCATTGTCCATTTTATCAGCTCCACTTACTATATAGGTGCACTTTGTAGTTCTACAGTTACAGACTGTAGTCCATCTGTTTCTCTGATACTTTGTTAGCCCCCTTTTACCCTGTTCTTCAGTGGTCAGGACCCCCATGGACACAGAGCAGGTACTATTTGGGTGGTGGATCATTCTCAGCACTGCAGTAACACTGATGTGGTGGTGGTGTTAGTGTGTGTTGTGCTGGTCTGACTGGATCAGACACAGCAGTGCTGCTGGAGTTTTTAAACACCTCAGTGTCACTGCTGGACTGAGAATAGTCCACCAACCCAAAACATCCAGCCAACAGCGTCCTGTGGGCAGCGTCCTGTGACCACTGATGAAGGACTAGAGGATGACCGACACAAACTGTGCAGCAGCAGATGAGCTATCGTCTCTGACTTTACATCTACAAGGTGGACTGACAAGGTGTCTAATAGAGTGGACAGTGAGTGGACACAGTGTTTAAAAACTCCAGCAGCACTGCTGTGTCTGATCCACTCAGACCAGCGCAACACACACTAACACACCACCACCACGTCAGTGTTACTGCAGTGCTGAGAATGATCCACCACCCAAATAGTACCTGCTCTGTGAGGGTCCATGGGGGTCCTGACCACTGAAGAACAGGGCTAACAAAGTATGCAGAGAAACAGATGGACTACAGTCTGTAACTGTAGAACTACAAAGTGCACCTATATAGTAAGTGGAGCTGATAAAATGGACAATGAGCGCAGAAACAAGGAGGTGTTCTTAATGTTGTGCCTGATCGGTGTAAATTACTGACAACCACCATTTTGAGAAGCATTTTGTGATTAGGTGACTCGAATTAAATCCTATAGACCAGAGGTATTTAACTAAAATTCCTTAAGGTCCAGTTAGAGAAAATTTCCTCAAGCGAAAGTCCGGAACATCATAATGTCTAACTTGCATTGACTCAGTGCCGTATACTGTTTACTGGAGTAGCCTAGTAGTTATAATAACATCTTATGGAGTACAACTGAAATGTCAAATCAAATAAAGTACAATTCAATAATATTTCAACAATGTCAGTTTTCTCTTTTTAGAGCACAGCATGTGAAATAATGTGGCTCACTTTCTTCTCCGTCTGCAGTGTCTCGCATCGCCTCGCCTCGCCCCCCCAGGGCCGCTAAACCGGTACCGTAATGACTAGAAATGTTGCGCCGATTAAAATAGGACCACCCCGTCAAAATTAAATAATTATCCATAGTTTATCAGTTATAGGTCCAGGTCCGCGCAGGACAGCGCCTGGGTCCGGACTCTGACCGCAATCCACCTATTAGTGACCTCTGCTGTAGACCCACAGCTTCCAATAGTACAGCTGCATCAAGAAAACAAGCACGTTGCTTTACCTTTTTCAGTTTCTTGGTCTTGATGTCGACTTCTTGCTGCAGAGAGCTGTACGTCTCCTTTAACTCAAGCGTCTCTTCGTCGCGACACTCCATCTCTTGCTGCATCTCCCGCTCACGTCTTTTCTATTTACGCAAACAAATAGAAAGACACTTTAGTATGTATGGTTTTGAACAGTAACTCAGTGCATTTAAATGCGAAGTATAACCCTCAATGCTTGGAGTGTTTATCCAAAACCACCCATCACAGCAATCTTTGTAATCGTTTACAGCGAATTTGATTGAAGAACTGAATAACACTATTTGACAGTAATAATGAAGTAAAAGGGGAAATCTACAATTTTGTTTCAAAATATCTGTATAATTAATTAGTTAGGATGTAAACAAAGCCATTCGGCACGGCTTGATGTGAAATGCTCAGTTCTAGAGAATCGTTTAAAGCACCAGACTCTAAAGAGTAATGCCTACATCACAGAAAATTATTAGATGAAATGTTTATGAAAACTCTGCCTGATGCCTGAAACATTGTTTTATAATAGTTTTGAGATACGGTTTTGACCTAATATGCATTTTAAACATACATTCATGAAAGAGTGGCACATGCAGGGAGTTGTAAGGTGTAGATTCACTGGTTATTTTACATTACATGGCTATATTTGTGTTGCAGACAACACAGCCAATGGTTCCCAGCATCATCATCACCGAAAATAAATCCAAGTTTGTCTACAATGAAATGACTTTTCTTAATATCTCAATGACTGAATTATCCAGAAATTATGAAAAACTGGTGGAATTCCCCCTTAATAGCTGTTACTGCTGATGTTGTTGGCTATCACTTGTGAAGGAACTACTGAATAGGAAGCAGAAATAGAAATAGGAGTAGAAATTCTGCTCCTGCTATTTACAGAAACCACGTTTGCACACAGATCATGTATTTCAATCAGCATTTTGGTCACAAGCTAAAATGAGTCTCCTAGAATAGACCCATATCAAACACTCACAAGGCTCGAATTACCAATGCCTTTTCCGGCAACCTGGAAGACAGAAACACAGCCCAGTCTAGGCTTACTCCTGGCATACTGGATGCCTTTCCTGGAAGTTATACCTGTTCTGCTATCTCCTGCCTCTTCTGCTCCAGAATCCTCTGCTGCTCATTAGTGTGGTCAACGATGTTCTTTCCTCCAACCAGCAGCTTGCTCTCCATAGCCTTAAGAGTGAAGACATGAATATAACGGTTGCCAGAAATAACTGATACAGACTAAGACAGTCAAGTTCTCCACTACCTACAGTCTCTGACAAGGAAAGGCTATTAAGATGCAAGGTGTGCATCACTATCTGCCTACCTTCACTTTGGCTGCCAGCATCTCCGACGCCTCCTTTTCTCGGTGCAGGTCGTCCATCTTCTTCTCCTTCTCCCTGAGTAGTCGCTGTTTCTCCTCTGCTACCAGGCTGTGGTCCTCCATGATGGCCTTCCTCTCCTTCTCCAGCTTCTCCTGCTGCTCCCGCCAATAATCAGCAATGTTCTTGTCCCCATCCACCCCGTCTTCGTCGTCGTCATCAACCTCATCCTCAACATCGTCGTCCAGCTCCTCTCCTTCCTCCCCGACCTTCCTCCTTCTCCTCTTCCTCCTCTTCTTCCCTGACCGTTTCTCCAGCTGTTCCTTCAAACGGGCGATCTCCTCCTGAAATTCCCGCAGAAGGGCATCCTTGGGGTCTTCGTTGATACGAGGCTTGTTCTTGATGTTTTTGGCGCGGTTGGAGTAGCGTAGCGTGGTGAGAGTCTCCTCCACATTGTAGGAGGCTGGTCCGATGTTGGCTACCATGACCGTTCTGGCGTTTCCTCCCAGCGAGTCCTGGAGCAGCCGTGTGAGCTTGGAGTCTCGGTATGGGATGTGGGTGCTTTTTCCATCCACCAGTGCCGAAATAACGTTACCCAAAGCAGACAGAGAGAGGTTGATCTTGGTTGCCTCCTTTAAACGTTCACCCTGGGCACCTGTCTTAGTCTGCCTTTCGCTGCCCGCCAAGTCGACCAAGTTGAGCTTCCCAACCCGGATGTGGTTCTCCCCGTCTGGGCCCAGCTCACTGCACTCAATAGTGATGACGAATATGGCATGAGAACGGGAACTGTGCTCATTCATGTTGGTGGCCCCGACTGAACGGTTCTGGTTGCCGACATTCATGACATGTTCGATCTCCCTGACGCTTTTAGTGACAAACGAAGAAAGATCTTTGACATAGACTCCCGTGTCAGGCCGCTCCTTCAGCTCCAAACGGCGTGACTGGTCCCTGGATAACAGGTCCCTAATCTCTTCCTGGTAGATCTCCAGGTAAGACGCCCTGACCAGGTACTGCTGGTTCTGTGAGCGTGAGATGTGTGTGAAAATGTGCTCGAAGGAATTGGGGATGACCCCTCTCCTCTCAGGGTCGTTGCGCACCCCTTCCATAGTGTATGTCTTCCCCGTGCCCGTCTGTCCATACGCAAAGATGGTGCCGTTGAAGCCCAGCAAAACAGAGTCCACTAACGGCCTGAATGTCTCATCATAGAGGTCGATCTGCTTCGAATTCCAGTCATAGACAGAGTCAAACGTGAACACTTTGGGGTGTTCGTGAGAGGACGCACCTCTGGGATTTCGCACTGCGACCTGTCCTAGCTTCACGTCCACAGAGACCACCCTCTCGAAGTTGGCGGCGCGCTCCTTGTCGTTCATGGGGCGACACCGCACCACCACTTTCACGGACTCTGAGCTCTTGCTTTTGGACATGATGGCTCCTACCTGCACCCCGCTGTTATCTACCGGCTTCTATTTATGTCTATGCACTATTGTTTCACAGTGATGGCACTGCCAGCATCAGAGCCTGCAAAAAAGAATGGGACAAATGACAGCTGCACATTTAACAGACAATGCAGCCTGAAAATAGCATTGAGAATGGCCTGAAAACCAGAGTCTGGTCTTCGGCTACAACGTGCAGATTAAGGGTTAACGCCCAATATGCCACTGACTTTGTGAGTTAATCTGAAATCCGATCAAGATCTCTTACTTGAACAGCAGATCCGGATTTATTTATTTATCAGATCAGATTTCGTCTTCACCGTCATCACTGACTGGAAAATCGATTTCCAGTTTAGCTGTGTGCTCGACTAGAGAGATGAATGTCACTAGTCAGTTAACGTTAACTTAGAATCACCTCATATAACTTACAAAAACCTCGTATCTCCAAATTTGTAACTTTACAGGAGAAGGAAAGAACCTACTTCACTCTTAATGCAAGTCAATGGAACCAGACTTTTTTCCAGGTCATTTTGGGCCGTTTCTTTTGGTCAGTTCATCATGAAATTTACACACAGTGTAAAGAACAACAGGTATTTTCAAATTATGTGAAAAACTGAAAAAGGTTTTCTTATGACAGAACGGTGAAAGGACTGTAACTAACTAACCTACCTGACTAACTAACCTTACAACGACATGAACTTTGTCAGCTAACCTAGATAGCTCATCAATTACCCTTCTTACCCAGCACCTTCCGACAACAATAACACTGACATTAGTAGATTATCGTGTACTGTATTAATTTAGCCATGTCACTGTAAGCAAACTCGACGTCACCCACCGGGAAAACAGATGAAGCTGGTCTCTCCGGCTCATCGTAACGTTACGTTAAATATTAAGACATAACTTCGACTTAGATAAGCAGAATGTTAGATGACTAAGTTAGCTAATTAACCAACTACGTTACCTGTTAATAGGTGCTAAATGTGGAGTCACTAACAAAACATTTCACAGCTGTAACGTTACTATCAGTGATTTTCTCTTAGTCAGCCAACCTACCGAGCTTAAACCAAACACGGAGAGGAACCACAAGTGCAGCATTTCGTCAAATTAGTCCGTCAGCTAACGTTACCTCCCAAATATTAACAGTAATAAGTGAAGTCAGCTGATAAACCTAGATAGATTAACGCGCTGGGTAAACAGGCTTGGCTAGCACCCTTTTAGCGAGTTAGCTAGGTTAGCTGAGATTATTTATGAGGCGGATTTAAACGGTCACTCCTACCTCAGATACACATCTCGTCCAAACTGTGCACCGTTAAAGCATAACTAACTGAAGTATACCGTCCATTTATCGTGTAAATGACAGAAAAGTCGCGTAACGGCTTCTGAGTGCGGGTCAATCAAAGCGGGGCTCCTCAGCAACCTCGCTCGAGCGGCCTAGCAACGGCAAACACTCCGCTCCCCTACCACAGCGGCTAACGGGGCTCTGCTAGCTCGGCTAACAAGCGAGAGCTGCTCTTCTCCAAACAGGGAAACGTTTTCGTGAAATGACCATCGCGTCTCCACGCTTTTAGGAATCACGTGAGTCGGTTAGGACCCGGTTGTGTGACAAACGCGCAGAGCTGACTTGAAACGATGAAGAACAGCAGCGTTACCCGTGTTCGGAAGCTCCCTCTCCGTCAGCCATTCCTGCCTCCTGGCCGCTGTTCGCGCAGTGAGGGAGCTGTTTCACCGTAACGGAGCGGAGCTGCTCGGAGCCTCTTCGCCGGTTTCAAACGCAGCGACATTCGTGACCTACTAACATTAAAGAGCCCGTCCTACATTTTTATAGCGCTTTATTTCCCTCTGCGGGTTTCACTGATAACTTTGTGTGGATTTAGGTAGCAAAAGCGGTCCGTGTTGGGTGATGCCGATGTCTATGGAAGTCCAGAGAGGCCATAAGCTGTTGCTATAATTTTGTGGGTTGTTATGTTGAGATAACAAGATAAGTAACTTGATATTTCGAGATAACAAGATAAGTAACTTGATATCTCAAGATAAGTAACTTATTTCAAGATAACATCTTGAGATAACGATAATTAACTTCTCAAAATAACAATCAAGAAAATAACAATAACAAAAGTTGTTATCTTGAGATCACAAGATAATTAACTTCTCTGAAGATAACTTTTGAGATATGTACGGAGCCCCACTGGTGACATCCTGTGTAAATAAAAATAATGCGTGGCCACGACTTAGTAAGGTGTGGGAACGAGATCCTAATGCGTGGCCACGACTTAGTAAGCCGTGATCTCGTTCCCACACCTTACTAAGTCGTGGCCACGCATTAGTATCTCGTTCCCTCGCGTTAATAAGGCGTGGCCACTCGTTATTTTTATTTATACAGGCTGTCACCAGCGGGGCTCCATAGTCCAGAGAGGCCATAAGCTGTTGCTATAATTTTCTGGGTTGTTATGTTGAGATAACAAGATAAGTAACTTGATATCTCGAGATAACAGCTTTGTTGTCTTGAGATCACAAGATAAGTAACTTATTTCAAGATAACAATTTTGTTATCTTGTGATAAGATAATTAACTCATCTCAAAATAACAATCAAGAAAATTATAACAAAAAAAAAGTAGTTATCTTGAAATAAGATAACTTATCTCAAGATAACTATCTTGAGATCACAAGATAATTAACATCTGAAGATAACTTTTGAGATATGTAACATGTTATTTCAAGATAACAATTTGGTTATATTGAGATAGCAAGATATTTGACTTCTTATCTCAAAACAACAATCCAGAAAATGAGAACTACCTCATGGTCTCTCTGGACTTCCGTAGATGTCCGATATTTTCTCACGTACATATCTGCTTCCTCGATTAGCATTAATGAGAAATATACATTTCTGTAAGATTCCCAATGTAGTAAAATGAATAAAATTCGGACATTTTTTAGCGCAGTAGTTTTTGGAGTACAATACATACAAAAGTCTTCAAATATTGGTTTGAAATATGTAAATTTTTTAAAATTATCTGCCGATACTGATGAGATTCTGATATCATACATCCATAATTTTTATAGTAACACTTTCCAATGTTCACATTCTACATCAAACTCTAATTAATAAAAGTCATGTAAATTCAGACTAGACTTTTCTGACTATTCAAATGGTCATGTAAATATTAAAAAAGAAGAAGGAGCAGAATGAAGTTTGAGTTTTACGTTACGTTTACATCACGTCTTCTTCTGTGAGTTTATTGGCTGGTTGCAAAGCAGAAATCCGATTCCTGTCTGACTCATGTAGACCTGGAGTTTCCCCATTATCTGATTAATCAAGTGCATGTAAACGTTGATCAGATTACTGACAAAACCAGATTTTCTGCAGTCATCAGATTATCAAGTGCAAATAAACACACTCAGTGATTGAAGAACCACATGGCTAAAATCTGACTTTGCAGGCAGTCATTATTGCTTATGCGTGCTTGTATTTATATATAGGTATATATCTCCAAAATGATTGCAGTGTCATTCTTTACATTTAACAAAGCAGAAAATTGTTTTCAGTGGGTAAGAATTTAATTATTTTTCTCAAAAAAGTGGGTTTCCTTCTTCAGTTTAGCACAGCAGGCATGTAAAACTGGGAAACTTCCAGGCCAAAGAGCTGCAGAGATTAGAGTTTACCCTCATCTAACACTCTGAATTCAGCTCATGTAGGCCTTGCTAACTAGCTGATGAGCTAAATCAGGTGAGTTTAATGAGGCAGTGTGCTGAAGTCTGCTGTGTTTTGGCCTGCGAGGACCGCAGCCAGACACATGTGGAATAAGGCAGCTGGAGTTGCCTTAGGAGGTCCAATCATGATGCTGCCACAGAGCACTAGATCTTCCTCACTGATGTTTAAAGAGGGTGATTCAAAAAGATTCATCTGATTTCAAAGCTCCATATTTTTACAACCGTGAGGCACCTAGGAACCAATCACAATCCAATTGAAAGAGGGGGTCATAGAGTTTCTGACTGTCAGTGGAAGATGGCTCCCTTCAGTCTGAGAGGAGATGAGACCCCTGAGCAGAAAGCGTTCTGCGTTCTCCACTTCAATAAGAGTGAATCCGTCATAACTGTGCAGCGTGATTTTCGTGGGCAGTGAACCTCCAACAGCTCAGAGCGTTCGTCGTTGGTTCCACAACACTGGATGATCTCCGAAATCGCACTGAAAGAGCCGTGAGTGCAGCGACACCCAGCATGCTCGATCGAGTATAGGATGAATTTGACTATGGTGTTGATGTCGTCCGTACAGCTGGAGGAGGTTCATACTGAGACCTTGTACAATTACATAATAAACTTTATGCTCATTTAAACCATTTACAGTTCACTGCATTGATCTGTAATGATTTACAAGTGAAACAAATCATTTTGAAATAGGATGAATCTTTTTGAATCACCCTGTATTTCTGACTCTCTATGATATTCGAATTAGAAATCAGGACACATGAAGCCAGAATTACATGAAATCGGATCTATTATTGTAATTCTGTAATACTGAATACAGAGAGTTTGTAGGTAATCTATGAATACACTGCTCCTTGAACAAACAAACCTAGTATTGAAAACAGACAGCAGGATGTACTGCTGTAATATGCTAATGGCATCTCTGCCATCTGACACTCTATCCATGCATCATTACCAGAACAAAAAGACAGAAGAGTGAAGATTAGTACTCTTTTCTTGAAAATACAATATGTGGAATGATGTGTTTGAAGATGCCTGAACTCAGGCTGCATGTTGTAGTAGTGTTAATACCTCATGTTATTACAAAATAAACAGAATACAGCAACTTTGTCATGTAGACAGTCCATGACTGAAATAAAAATATGAAGCGTAACTGGACCAGCTCAACCTGCTCTGCACTTTTAAGGTTATGAGTGCCTAACAACCTTTCCTGCAGCGTGCAAGTTCATTTCAACACAAACCAACGGACTAATTCTGGCCCCCAACTCCACTATAATTAGCACCCACAGGATCATTTACTGCACCCCTAAGAGGAATCACTTTCCATCTGTAAGGATAATCACACAACTCTTGCTCCCAACTGCTACCTTTGCATTTTACTAAAGCTACATAGCCTATTAATCAGAAAAGGCTGTGGACTCATCTACAATGTTAGATTGTGTCTCGAAGGCCAGAGCTAAGAAAGAGGACCAGAGCCTTTGCCTCCACTGTGGACTCATAACTCAGTGGAGGAGACATTTGAGCTCCTGCTAATTCATCTGGCATGCTAAAAGCAAAATATAACCTATGTACTCTTTGCGAGAATGTCCGTTGTGGTTTACATATACACCGATCAGGCATAACATTATGACCACCTCTACGCTCATTGTCCATTTTATCAGCTCCACTTACTATATAGGTGCACTTTGTAGTTCTACAGTTACAGACTGTAGTCCATCTGTTTCTCTGCATACTTTGTTAGCCCCCTTTTACCCTGTTCTTCAGTGGTCAGGACCCCCATGGACCCTCACAGAGCAGGAACTATTTGGGTGGTGGATCATTCTCAGCACTGCAGTAACACTGACGTGGTGGTGGTGTGTTAGTGTGTGTTGTGCTGGTCTGAGTGGATCAGACACAGCAGTGCTGCTGGAGTTTTTAAACACCTCAGTGTCACAGCTGGACAGAGAATAGTCCACCAACCAAATATATCCAGCCAACAGCGTCCTGTGGGCAGCGTCCTGTGACCACTGATGAAGGACTAGAGGATGACCAACACAAACTGTGCAGCAGCAGATGAGCTATCGTCTCTGACTTTACATCTACAAGGTGGACTGACGAGGTAGGAGTGTCTAATAGAGTGGACAGTGAGTGGACACAGTGTTTAAAAACTCCAGCAGCACTGCTGTGTCTGATCCACTCGTACCAGCACAACACACCACCACCCAAATAGTACCTGCTCTGTGAGGGTCCACTGGGGTCCTGACCACTGAAGAACAGGGTAAAGGGGGGCTAACAAAGTATGTCATAATGTTATGCCTGATCGGTGTAAAGTTGCCATTTTGCACTGACTTGGCAATTTCAGCGTAACAAAACTGTGAAGTCGTTCAGACTGGTTTGATGTGAAATGCAAGTCAGAATTGTTCACAGTGGTGGTGATAGGAACCAGACCTCCAAGGCAATTGATTTATCTAAAATCTACCTCACATCAAGCTACTCCTTGAACTAGCTATGAATATCCAGCCTGATATCTGATACAGTGCTTTACGATTGTTTTGAGATACAATTAGGCCTAAAACTAATTTCTAAAGAGATGCATGGAGGCTGTTGTAGGCAAAGTAGTTCCCAGAAAAGGGCATACTTTCGCAGATTTACCACTATTTTACCACTATGAACATTACATAGATACATAACACGTTCAGAAACTACATGTAGGTTCACCAATTATTTTGGATGGCAAAAAATGGCTACATTTGTACTGTAGACCTTGCAACCACTGAGTATATCAGCATGATGATTTAGGTAGAATACTGGAAACTCTATACACTACCTAACATGTATCTAAGCTCATTCGTAATTCCATCAGATACAAAGTGCATCTATATGGTAGATGTTTGTTCACAACTACTGCTGCACCTAATACGCTTATACCAACGTCCTCTAACACACCACTACCATGTCAGGGTCACTGCTGCACTGAGAACAGACCACCACCCCAACAGACTTTGGTCAGCAGTGGTCCTATGGTGGTCTCTTACCAATGATGGACAGGATAGAGAGAAGCTGATAAACTGTAAACCTACAAAGTGTATCTATATGACAGGTGTACCTGGTAAAATGGCCAATAAATGTAGATGCAAGATACTCTGCTGTTCAAAAGTTTGGACTTAAAAAAAGAAAAATAATTTTTTGGAGATAAATGGATAAAAATGGTTTTAATACATACAATACTTAAATCTGTGCTGTATTGTGTATAACAAATATGATTAATTTAATTCAAGTGATTTCAGACTATTTGAACAGTAGTGTAGGGCTACGTTCACACAGCAGGTAAAAGTGGCCCAAATCTGATTTTTTTATTTGGCTGTTCACATTATATTTTAAATGTGATCTGAATGTGACATCAGTCTGAACAGATCAGCTCCTAAACTGACCCACATGCACAAAAGAACAGAGCGTCACGCTGCTTCACGGCTCATCCAGAGGTAAACAATCACGACTGCCAATGAACGCCAGTCGCTCCCGGAGGATCAGCTTCATCTTCACCAGCATCACAGGAGCCATCATGAAGCTTCACTGACTGACAGCTGGGCTCATCACCCAGAATGTGTTCGAGCCGTAAAAAGGGCGCGGTCGCTTCTTTGGTTCACTTCCTCGGATTCTTTAAACTTTACTTTCAGACTTTTAACTGTTATTTGATGCTGCAACCATTTCCATCGAAATCTCTTTGAACGCAAAGCAGTTGTGATAAGTGCCTTCTAACTTTTTGATACAGCAACATCAGCCTAAATGTTTATGGAGTCTCAGCAGCGCAAAATTATGACTAATGTGGAGTTGGATTGACGTAAAAGTCGCATATCGGATACGGATCAGATTTCAGTACCACATATGAAAGCGTCTCAAATCGGAATTGAAAATGTCAGATTCAATACGTTTTTTGCTGTTCACACTGACACACAGACACACATTTGTGTCACATATGAAGAAAAAGATCGGATTTGGGCCACTTTTACCTGCTGTGCGGAAAAAGCCTAGGTGTGTGTAATAAACTGGCAACTCAGATAACGTAGGTTTAGCTTCTCTTTACTGCCATATTGGAATTGCCCACTTTGCCCACCACTGATCTCTTGCTTATTTCATATTTTGTATTCTTTCTGTTAGAGGAGAAGAAATGAGAGAGAGAGTGAGAGTGAGAGAGAGGAAATCTGGAGTGGAAATCTGTTTCAGAACCGTTTTGTCGAACAATTCATCCTGTTATCCCAAACTTCTTGTGCTTTCTACGCTGATTAAACACTAAATCAACTTCCTTAAAAAACTGCAGCAACTTTCTCTTCTGTAAACACAAAACAATCACCTGAGATTTCCACACACTTCAGTTTTCACAGCCAAAAACAAAAATCAGTTCAAGGCTCCGTCTAAAGCTCATCTTTTTTCTTTTTGCCGGGATAGTCCATCCCAAAGAAGGACGAGGGCCTGCCATGCATGTCTCTTTCCCTCTTCACAAAGGCTGAAAAGGATGAGACACAGTTCCCTATGAAGTGGTCAGCCTGGCCAAGGATGTACAGGTCAAGCTGAGCCACGTCCGGGCGAAGACTGACCACCTTGACCTGTGATGGGAGAAAAAAGAAGAACAGAAAAAGAGATGAAGTCAAAGCTAGAGCTACATATAGATTAATCAACGACATTAACAATTACATACGTCAATAAAACAACTGTACCATGTAACAAAAACATCTAAATCAATAACTCAATCACTCTAAACAGATACTGGGATGTATTCAGAGTGAACAGATCTAAGGTGGTGGTGCTTTTACAGCTAATCTCCTAAAAGCAACAGCAAAAAATAATAAAATAGTGGCTTACATTTAAGCCCATAGAGATCTTGAGCACAAATATCACATACTATCTACTAGTATAAGCAACATTTTGCTGTTATACACTAGTCATCTCATCAGGCTCAGTCACCTTTCCTTTGAAGGCTTTCTCAATGTCAGTACTGTGGGACTCAGAGTCGGTGGCGATGTAAACAGACTGAGCCTTTGTCTTTTTAACCCAGAGCTTGACGGCACGCAGGATCTCTGCCAGGTCAGGCAGACACATGGTGAAGGTGAGAGGCAGCGCCGTCTGCCGGTCGTAACCCACACACTGCGGTGAGGCCATGAAGTGAGGGCCGGCATCGCCCGACTGCAGCAACTTACAGGCGTTTTGCTACAGGACATATGGAAAGGAAATTACATTTGAAGCACCCAACTGTTCAAAGGTTTGGAATCAGTTGTGTTTTTTACACAATGTAAAACAAATATGGTTTCAGAAAAGTGTGCAAAATTAATTTAGGATGTTAGTCCTGTTAATGTTAGTCCTGTGTAGCTTCATAGCTTTCAAATAATTAGCAGGAAGCTGTAAGCTGTTTTAAATGTGTCCAGAATGATGGAGTTGTAGAGGATTTCATAATGACCGAGAAAACTGTACGACATCAGAAATTAAGATATAATAAACGTAACATCCAAAATTCCCCATATTTAAATAAATTTGAACACACATACACACACACATACATTAGTGTGTGGTGTGCTGGTCCGAGTGGATCAGACACTGCTGTGCTGCTGGAGTTTTTAAACACTGTGTCCACTCACTGTCCACTCTATTAGACACTCCTGCCTTGTCAGTCCACCTTGTAGATGTAAAGTCAGAGACGATAGCTCATCTGCTGCTGCACAGTTTGTGTTGGCCATCCTCTAGTCCTTCATCAGTGGTCACAGGACGCTGCCCACAGGACACTGTTGGCTGGATATTTTTGGTTGGTGGACTATTTTCAGTCCAGCAGTGACACTGAGGTGTTTAAAAACTCCAGCAGCACTGCTGTGTCTGATCCACTCAGACCAGCGCAACACACACTAACACACCACCACACATCCACCACCCAAATAGTGCCTGCTCTGTCATGCCTGATCAGTGTATATTTTATACACATTCATATATATATATACATACATGTGTATATATATATATATATATATTTATATATATATATATATATATATATATATATATATATATATATATATATATATATGTGTTTATATAAGATGGTTGCTACCTCCATTTTTAGCTACATTACACTCTTTTGTCCATTACATTTGGGGTAAGTTGAAGGGGACAATTGTACAAATTTGACTTTTTGCCAGTCCATCAGTTTAATGTTCATATCGGACGACAAGTTTACACAAATGGTTATACAATGCAACTTTACTGGAAGCATTTTGTCCCAGTCACACATCACTCACCCAGTCTGATCCGATCCGGAGGTGGATGCCAACGTAAGGTCTAGGGAGCAGAGTGCTGATGTGTTTTTCTCCATCCTCCACAATCATGTCAGCCCATACCACATAGCGCTGCAGGCTAATATGCTCCTCCAGCACAGGGAACTGTGCTGGGGCTCCAGGCATTGCCAGCACAGGGTGCTCCGCTGGGGGAAACCTGAGACACCAGGAAGGGGGCGAGAGGTCAGATGAATTCAATTTGTATCCGAGTGAGTTTTAACATCAGTGAGGGTGTGGAAATGTAGCCTAAGGGTGGCATTTCACCTGCATTGATTTTGAATGTTAGGCTGGTTTTACATGGTGAAACCTTCAAGCAACTAGATGCATGTTGTGAGTAGCATGCAACCAAACCTCTGTGCAACTTGAGAGCAACTTGCACAAAGCAATTCAAAAACAAAGAAAGTTGCATGCAACGCATTTGATTACTCCACTAGTCAGGCAAATTAGCAGCTTGTATTTTCTGATATATCATTTTCTCTATATACAGTCACCTGCAACTTATATTTGCATATTTGTAGTCTACCTAACTTACTATATACACCGGTCAGGCATAACATGACCACCTCCTTGTTTCTACGCTCATTGTCCATTTTATCAGCTCCACTTACTATATAGGTGCACTTTGTAGTTCTACAGTTACAGACTGTAGTCCATCTGTTTCTCTGCATACTTTGTTAGCCCCCTTTTACCCTGTTCCTCAGTGGTCAGGACCCCCATGGACCCTCACAGAGCAGGTACTATTTGGGTGGTGGATCATTCTCAGCACTGCAGTAACACTGACGTGGTGGTGGTGTGTTAGTGTGTGTTGTGCTGGTCTGAGTGGATCAGACACAGCAGTGCTGCTGGAGTTTTTAAACACCTCAGTGTCACTGCTGGACTGAGAATAGTCCACCAACCAAAAATATCCAGCCAACAGCGTCCTGTGACCACTGATGAAGGACTAGAGGATGACCAACACAAACTGTGCAGCAGCAGATGAGCTATCGTCTCTGACTTTACATCTCCAAGGTGGACTGACAAGGTAGGAGTGTCTAATAGAGTGGACAGTGAGTGTTTAAAAACTTTAGCAGCACTGCTGTGTCTGATCCACTCAGACCAGCACAACACACACTAACACACCACCACCACCACGTCAGTGATAAAATGGACAACGAGCGTAGACACAAGGAGGTGGTCATAATGTTATGTCTGATCGGTATATCTGACTGTTTTAAAGTGTTCTGTATGTTATACCTTTAAAAATTACTGTTTAAGCTGCCATTATGGTTGTATTTGATGTCTCGTTCATCTGTTCCTAGAAACGCTATGTTCATCAAGGACAGACTCTCTGCCTCTGCAATCATTTTCATCTCTTAGATCCCAAAATAACTTCCACTCTGTATAAAATTTGGTGAAATCCAGAAAGAAGAAAATGAATAATCTAAATAAGCATATTATGATAACAGCTGACCAACAAAGAGAAATAAACACTGGAGCAAGCTGTCATTTAAATGGCTGTTAGTTAAGCTAGATGGTTATAGAAACATTAGCTTTGGCTCAGAAAACTGACAAAAAGAAAAACTACCAACCTCAAATGAATGCCCATTGATCAGATGACAGAAATTATAAGGAATTATGCTGATCATGTGACAGGTCCTTATGCTTTGATCAGCTGTTTCATGAAACTTGATTCACAACATTGAAACAATGGCAGAAGATGTGAGTTTCCAGCAAGTTGCAAATTAACTTTAGGAGGAGGAACTGAAGTTGCATGAAAGCTTCACTGTGTAAAGTCAGCCTTAGTATGCGTGTATTTTTTTTTTTATTTTTTTTGCCCAAATAAATTTGCACACTAGTGTTAAATATACTATTAGACTAATTTTACATTAATTGAAAATACATTTGGTGCTGCTATCATGTAAATAACTTGGAATATTACAAAATTAGTTGAAATTTTAAAATTTGACATTTCATGATGACTCATTCCCAATTTTTAATTATTGTGTATAAAGAGATTTACATCCTTAATAATCAGTTATTTGCTCAATGAGCAATATTCAATTTTGCTTGACTGGTCACTCAAGGTGAAATAACAGCTTTCGCTTCACTGCAGACAATCATTACTCATCATCAATATTATTATTAAGCCTCAACACAGTCGTACCTTTTTATCCAGTGTGGTATGTAGTAAGAGCTGAAAGACAGGCCACCAAACGGAACGGAATGGTCAAAATCCACTCCAACGTGGTCCCAGAATGGACCAAATGGATTTCCATCCTGCATCCAAAGAATCAGAATAATCAGTTTCAGCATGTCATTCACCTAAAGTGCCTGCAGATGGCAGTGTTGCACTAAAAGTGCTATCAAAAGCCTGCATTAAATCAAGCACTCATAAAAACAATAAAACCTCAAAGAAATAACTATAACATCAATCCTCAATGCTGGAGCTCATGAATGCTCATGAAGTGTCTAGCGTGCAGTTTACACTTGGTAATAAAATGTGTCCAGTATCTGGATGTGGTTGGTATAATGTAGTGGGCATCACCTCTACCTTCTACGCTGTAGACTGGGGTTCAATCCCCTGCCTGGACAAGCACCCTACACTATACCTGTAGGAGTCATTGGGCAAGACTCCTAACACTACCTTCACCTACCTGTGTAAAATGAAATCAAATTGTAAGTCGCTCTGGATAAGAGCGTCTGCCAAATGCCATAAATGTAATTGTCTTTATACACACTTAAAGACAAGTAACTGCATGATTGGAATGTGTTCAGAATGCTCTGCACCACAACTGCAAAATGTTTTATGAAACATTAAATCCAGAGCAGCTCGTGGAGGCTCCTGCACCACCAGCCTCATTTAAAATGTAAATCTGAAAGGGGCAACTGTAAATGTGCTGTGTCACGATTAGATGATGATCCGGTTGTGGTGCTCAGATGTTAATGCCAACTGTAAACAGGGCCTAGGTATCTATTATCTTACGCCTCGAGGTTATTTACACCTTGTATTGACATGCATTTTTGTTCATCAGTTCACATTTGGATTAGTGCTGGGCGATATGACCTCAAATTAATATCACGATTAATTGAACATTTTACTTCGATTATGATTAATGAACGATTATTTTGTTTTTGTTAGTTTTTTGCTCTCATAGTTCACTGACAAGGTTTGTACTGTACATATGCTCTGCATATCCTAATGCAAATCGTCTCAACGGCCAGATCGGAATTCATGTGGCTTTTACATCAATCCAACTCGGCGTTCGTCATAATTTCGCGCTGCTGAGACCTAATAAACATCTGGGGTGATATTTCTGTACAAAAATTAGAAGAGACTTATCCAAAACCCTCCTTGTTCAAAGGGATTTTCAAAGAAATGTCCGAACGCGGCCGCAGGAGAACGAGGCTGCAGCGTCAAAGAACAGTTAAAAGTCTGAAGTTTAGAGAATTCAAGGACGCGAACCAAAGAAGTGACCGCGCCCTTTTTACGGCTCGAACACATTCTGGGTGATGAGCTCAGCTGTCAGTCAGTGAAGCTTCATGATGGCTCCTGCGATGCTGGTGAAGATGAAGCTGATCCTCTGGGAGCGACTGGCGTTCATTCATAGTCATGACTGTTTACCTCTGGATGAGGTAAAGCTCTGTTTTTTTGTGCACGCGGGTCAGTTTAGGAGCTGACCTGTTCAGACTGATGTCTCATACAGATCACATTTAAATGATAATGTGAACAGCCAAACTAAAAAAAAATAGGATTTGGTGAGAAAATCAGATTTGGGCCACTTTTACCTGCTGTGTGAACATAGCCTTAGCTTCCACGTCGCAGACTGGTTAGAGGTTCTGAATCTCGTCAGTTAGAGGTTCTGAATCTCGGTTTTGATTACTTTTCGATTAATTGCCCAGCCCTAATTTGGATTTAACTTGACCACCTGAGAAGCCAGATTATGAGCAGATCACTCAAACCACATTCAGAGACGACTCCAGATCCTATTCAACACAAGTGTAACTGGAACGAGTTTTCTATATTCGCATACAATTACATTATTGGAAACAAATACGTAATTATAGCAAATCCAAGCCTTTCCTTCACCAATGCAGACAATTCGTTGCCCGTTTTAAACAATCTGCACAATATCTGTGCCTAATACACTAATAGTAACAGGTGAGAAACCATGTTTACAGTAGGCTAGAGGAAGTAAAACAGAAGCAACGTACACTGATCAGGCATAACATTATGACCACCTCCTTGTTTCTACGCTCATTGTCCATTTTATCAGCTCCACTTACTATATAGGTGCACTTTGTAGTTCTACAGTTACAGACTGTAGTCCATCTGTTTCTCTGCATACTTTGTTAGCCCCCTTTTACCCTGTTCTTCAGTAGTCAGGACCCCCATGGACCCTCACAGAGCAGGTACTATTTGGGTGGTGGATCATTCTCAGCACTGCAGTAACACTGATGTGGTGGTGTGTTAGTGTGTGTTGTGCTGGTCTGAGTGGATCAGACACAGCAGTGCTGCTGGACTGAGAATAGTCCACCAACCAAAAATATCCAGCCAACAGCGTCCTGTGACCACTGATGAAGCACTACAGGATGACCAACACAAACTGTACAGCAACAGATGAGCTATTGTCTCTGACCTTACATCTACAAGGTGGACTGACAAGGTAGGAGTGTCTAATAGAGTGGACAGTGAGTGGACACAGTGCTTAAAAACTCCAGCAGCACTGCTGTGTCTGATCCACTCGGACCAGCACAACACACACTAACACACCACCACCACGTCAGTGTTACTGCAGTGCTGAGAATGATCCACCACCCAAATAGTACCTGTTCTGTGAGGGTCCATGGGGGTCCTGACCACTGAAGAACAGGGTAAAAGGGGGCTAACAAAGTATGCAGAGAAACAGATGGACTACAGTCTGTAACTGTAGAACTACAAAGTGCACCTATATAGTAAGTGGAGCTGATAAAATGGACAATGAGCGCAGAAACAATGTTATGCCTGATCGGTGTGTGTTTATGTGCTTTTTGTACAACAGAGTAAAACCAGAGTGCAGTGTGTAACTGACAATCTAACACAGCTGCTCTTCAACAGGCCTCAGCAACGCCCACCAAATCCTCTCACACACCTTCATTGGGCAGCTCTTCTTGTCCGTACTCCTTTGAACAGCAGACTCAAAGCAGTAGGCGGTCCTCTGGCCCAGGGGCCAGTGTGCAGGGGCCAGATGGGCCATGAAATCCTCCAGGCTCACCACACGGTGGTACTGCTTAAGCGGCTCAAGCTTGAAATACTCACTGTAGGGGATGTGCACCTGTCGCAGGTGGATAGGAAAACTGTTAACTACATGGGGATAAACTTCTCCAGCAGTCAGGCAAGCAAACAAGCTGGAGAGTATGAACATTACAGACACAACCTTTTCTGTCTGAGGGTCAAATTAACACCATAAACCCAAAGTGGATTGAAGAAGCATGAGGCTAGTTAAGGATACTGGGGTTTTAATAGGGTAGTCTGGAAATGAGAATTCCGACACGATTAATACACTTAGCTTATCAGCTGTAACTCTGGGCATTACAGAGGCAGTCAACTTGTGCTATCCTGCATGAATGTACTACCGACTGCCAAATAAAGAATGTTTTCAATTTAATTTTCAATTTTTGTGTTGCTTCAGGTAGATTTGGGTTGGTGGGACTACACTGGAAGACAATATTGTCATCTACTTTTCTGCATAATTTGTTACCTGACAAGTTGGTCGAAATTAGTGGACAAATTCTGAAGCTGCCTAAATGATTTGCTGTCTATTATAGCTAACTGGCCACAGTTCAGCAAATTCTAACAGCGTTTGGATGATTAGCCAAATTCCGACTTGTAATTGGCCTCTAACCCTTAACACCTCAGTGACTGTGGTCACTCAAGGTACTGCCTTAACCTGATGCCTCACACAGATTTTAAGCCCAACTTCTGCCAGAAAATAAAAGCTTGCACAAAAAACTGCTGCCCTGAGGTAGTTTATGTTACCATAGCTATGCCACTCATTCACAATGAGATCTAAGACACCCACATAGTCCTGATCAGGTTCAGAAGTTGAGCTTTTCTAGCCTTTAACTCCATTCGAATTAGAATTAGGACATCAGATTGTTCCCAATTAAGTCGGATATATTTAGGATAACCAAGATTTTAATATTTTAATAATTACAATTAATTTGCCAGCCCCTTTAAGACAACTGCAAACATTTGGACGCTGGTGTTTGCTGCAAAATGTTTGCTTTTGCTGTCTGTATGTTTCCGGGTGGGGTTGACCAGTCCTGGTCCTGGGGATCTGCCCCGCTGCAGAGTTTTGCTCCAACCCTAACCTAACACACCTGATTAAGGCCTTCAGGGGCATCTGAACATCAGAGTATACTGGATTTGAAGTTTTCAGGGTGGTAGATTCTCAGGACCAGGAGTGTGTTGTTGAACACCTCCATCTTGGCACACAGTGTGATACAATTATCATAGAGACGCATGATGCTACTTACATTCGTGTACGGGGGCGCGTGATGCCGGTAAATAATCCAGGGGGGCACCGCCAGTGTCCGGTTCAGCGCTTTGGCAAAGGCCAGCGAGCCGAGAAAGTGGTCCACCTGGTTTCCAAAGCGACCTGCGATGAAAGACGAACTGCGTTACATATGGAGTTAAATCAGCGTCACCAGAACCTGAACCTGAACTCGTGATGCTTTTTCAGGTTGCAAAATACAGGCTGAAAAATTCAGGCCTGGAAACTGAGGTGGTAAAATTTGGGCTGAGAAATCCAGGGAAACATCTGGGGTACTCGGGAAGAGCAAACAAGCGTGGATGTAATCGAACTCATCTGGCCAATCACTAAACATCTTTGGGAGTGGCTTCTTGTCACTTAGTACAGGCCGCTTGTTTACATCTACGCTTGTTTGCTCTTCCTGAGTAACCCGGAAGTTTCCCTGAATTTCCGAACCTGAATTTTACCACCTGAATCTCTTGACCTGAATTTTGCAACCTGAATTTTACCAATTGAATTTCTGGACATGAATTTTACCACCTGAATCTCTCTACCTGATCTTTACCGCCTGAATTTCCGGACCTGAATTTTACCACCTGAATCTCTGGACCTGAATTTTACCACCTGGATTTCCGGACCTGAATTTTACCAATTGAATTTCTGGACCTGAATTTTACCAATTGAATTTCCGGACCTGAATTTTACCACCTGAATCTCTCTACCTGATCTTTACCGCCTGAATTTCCGGACCTGAATTTTACCACCTGGATTTCCGGACCTGAATTTCACCACCTGAATTTTGCTACTTGAATTTTACCAATTGAATTTCTGGACCTGAATTTTACCACCTAAATCTCTGGACCTGAATTTTACCACCTAAATCTCTGGACCTGAATTTTACCACCTGGATTTCTGGACCTGAATTTACCACCTGAATTCTGCGACTTGAATTTTACCACCTGAATTTTGCAACTTGAATTTTACCAACTGAATTTCCAAACCTGAATTTTACCACCTGAATTTCCAGATCTGGGGGGTGTTCCACAAAGCAGGATTTCTCAGTTTAGCCAGATAACTTATGTCCAAAGTCAAGCCTGTCCAATAGGAACAGAGCTGAGGGACATTCCCATTGGACAGTCCTCATCTTTGGGTCTAAGTTATCTGGCTAACTGAGAAATCTTGCTGTGTGGAACACCCCCCTGATTTTTACCACCTGAATCCTACAACCTGAACTTCTGGACCTGTATTTTACCAATTTTGCTTTTTGAATTTTACCGCCTGAATTTTACAACCTGAAAAAGGTTCAGCGTCACGAGTTCAGGTTCAGGTTCTGGTGACACTGATTTAACTCCATAGTTACAAGGATATCAGTTAACAACAAACAACAACAACTGTTTACAACGGCCAGTGACCAAAGCAACGGTTTGCCTGGCTTCCAAACTGATCTACGGCGAAACGACAGTAACCACAAATACTTTAACCCGCACTCAGCCTATCAGCCTCGTCTGTGGAGAGGAGAGAAAGAGCATCTCAAACAGCAGCAGACTTTCAGACCTGCAGGTGTTTAATCCGTCACTTGTCTTTCGGGTTTTTACGAAGCTTCTTCTTCGAATTTCCCCGTCCCACCTTAAACAGCGCAGCAGTGTTACCGGCGTCTGAGGAGCCAGAATGTAACTCCTGCACCATTTAAGGTGGAACGGAGGGATTCGAATAAGAAGCTGACTTCAGTTTCGTGTCACTGCTTTCATTTCGCTAAACTCGTTGTCTTTACCCATGCACGGACAGTACAGCACGTATCCGCTTTCGTCCCATGTTAAGTCCGAGGCTGTGGTCAGTGCGCTGACCGAGAGCAGCGCCGCACAGATCAAACTCAACATCAAAACTTTACAGCGCTTTGGTTTCGCCGCCATTGTGAAGCATCCGCGCTCCCACAATGCAATGCGCGGGACTGCTGGTGTTGTTAACTCTTGACGTGCTGCAATACAGCAGGGGTGTCAAACTCCACCACTGAAAGGGCCTCATTAAAAATCTCAACAGTGCCTAAACGTCAACAGCAAAATATATCCACTTATAATAAACATTTTTTTTACATGTGAATTCCTGATCTACACCCATCAGGCATAACATTATGACCACCTCCTTGTTTCTACGCTCATTGTCCATTTTATCAGCTCCACTTACTATATAGGTGCACTTTGTAGTTCTACAGTTACAGACTGTAGTCCATCTGTTTCTCTGCATACTTTGTTAGCCCCCTTTTACCCTGTTCTTCAGTGGTCAGGACCCCCATGGACCCTCACAGAGCAGGTTTTATTTGGGTGGTGGATCATTCTCAGCACTGCAGTAACACTGACGTGGTGGTGGTGTGTTCATGTGTGTTGCGCTGGTCGGAGTGGATCAGACACAGCAGTGCTGCTGGAGTTTCTAAACACCTCAGAGTCACTGCTGGACTGAGAATAGTCCACCAACCAAAAATATCCAGCCAACAGCGTCCTGTGACCACTGATGAAGGACTAGAGGATGACGTACACAAACTGTGCAGCAGCAGACGAGCTATCGTCTCTGACTTTACATCTACAAGGTGGACTGACAAGGTAGGAGTGTCTAATAGAGTGGACAGTGAGTGGACACAGTGTTTAAAAACTCCAGCAGCACTGCTGTGTCTGATCCATTCATACCAGCACAACACACACTAACACACCACCACCACATCAGTGTTACTGCAGTGCTGAGAATGATCCACCACCCAAATAGTACCTGCTCTGTTAGGGTCCATGGGGGTCCTGACTACATAAGAACAGGTTGAAAGGGGGCTAACAAAGTATGCAGAGAAACAGATGGACATAAGATGATATACAGTACAAACGCATTCATATTCCACACGCCTCATAGATAAACGTCTGATCTCTGTTTTTATTTTGAGCTTTGAGAGACAAAGACAGAGTAATGCCTCAAAATAGAGTTACTGTATTATCAGAATTTAGCTTTGAATCCCAACTGTGCCATGTGCCACTAGTGACTTTTACCAGCATGTTGAAAATACCTTTGCTTTCTCATTGTTGTGATCAATTTTTTTTATTTGTTTCCTGTTAATCAAGCAGCATTTTATCACATTACAGAACCCCATCCCTCCCCGTCCCACTGGTCCATCCATCCCTGTTTCCTGTACATACTTTATACTATTTCCTAAGTAAGATTTAGTGCAAAGGATGACATTTCAATGACAATGTTAGCTTACAAGATGTACCTCATAGCCTTTGTTCCAATCTTTTCATCACATCACAACAAATCTGTTTCCATGTCTCAAAAGTAGATGTTTTAACTTTATTAATCCTAGCTGTGGCCAACTCTAACATAACTATGTCATGCAGTTGACATAGCCAATGTCGTACGCTTAGATTATGTGGGTGAAGCCGCCTCTGTGCAATAATTTTTTTAGCCGATGTTAAACCAGCGAGCCACATCTTCCTTTGTTTGCCTGTTGAGTTTAAATTGGAGTCATCATTTAGCAATAATACAGCTGGGTCCATGGGAATTTCTTGTCCTACCAGGGCAGATAATATGGTAGTAACCTTTATCCAGAAGCCATTAACATCCCCACATTCCCACACCATGTGCAAAAAAGTTCCCATTGGTTGCTGTGGACGATAGTTGCAGTAGGGATTTACTGCAGTTTTTGTAAGAAAGCGTTTTCGTGGTGTCCAATATAACCTATGACAATATTTAAAATGCTTTCTCACTGTTAATGAATGTACTAGCAATCAGACGTCTGCTTAGACTGCCTACGTTGCAACATGGCCGGTAGTTTGAAAACCCAAATGTTTGACTGTATGCACATGTAAAGTTTTGTGAGTTACCCTTTGCCCTCCTAGAGTGAAAGAATGATCCATAGTAGGTAAGAGAAATGATTGGGAAATGGCTCTTGTTTCCAGTGTACTACAAGCTAAGAAATGTATGTTCCCCATTTTGGTTATTTGTGCAATACACGCTTAAAATAAAGCGGCCAAAAGGCTCCTTTGTAGTGATTCTATAGAACAACCACTATTATTTCCTTACTGGTTCTCAAACTGGTTCGCAGGGACCTCTAGACAGTCCACACTTTTGCTTGTTCCCGACTCCCAACATGTACAGAAAGCAAAATTATGGACCATCTGTGGGTCACTGAGGACTGGTTTGGAAACCATTGCCTTGAGGAATGTGAATGTAAACCTTTTTTAAAGTTTAAAGGACCTCCAAATGAGGTACTACGCACTGTTAAAAATAAAGGTTCCTAAATGATGCTCGGCTTAAACGTGCAGTTCTAGGAAAAAAACATTTAATTGGTACAGAACATTTACCTTATGTGAAGGTTCTTTAAACTTTAAAAAAGATGCTCACAGATTTTTTTGTCTTTTTGATAACAAACTATCCATTAAGAGTTTCTTTAGGGAACCAACAGTGGCTCTTCTACACTCTCAGAAATAAAGGTACTAAACTGTCACTGGGGTGGAACCCTCAAGGGTACATCTCAGTACCTTTAGTCAGGGAACATAACTGAACCATAATCCACTGAAATGATATTTTCTAAGCTGTACTGACTCCACACACCCCGTCTCGTCTCCAGGCTTTTATTTTACTGTTCTGTTTTAAAACATTCAGTTATGAAAAGGTACAAATACAAACTTTTCACCTGAAAAAACTTATTTAAGGTTCATAATCAGACCTTAAAACCACTGTTGTACCTTTGAGGACACATTTACATAGTTTGTACCTGGATAAGTGAAAAATGACACAGAACCTTTATTTCCAACAGTGTATATTATTTCAGAAAACCCTTTTGACACCTTTATTTTCAAGAGCGTAAATAAAAATATGTTGGTCTCTTTCTGCAGGCCCTCTTGCTGAGATCAACTAATAGAATTATTAATGTAAGTTAATAAAAAATTCTGCAATCAGATTAACTACGACACTGTTGGCTCTCTGTGTGTGAAATGTCCCTGGGGCAGTGCCCCTCTTGTCACTAGGGTGGTACCCTCAAAGGTACATCTTCAGTACCTTTATTTATGGAACATAATCGTACAATATTCTGTTGAAATTATATTTTCTAAGCTGTACTGACTCCACACACCCCGTCTCGTCTCCAGGCTTTTTATTTTAGTGTTCTGTTTTGAAACATTAGGTTATGAACAGGTACAAAAACACACCTTTCCCCTGGGAAATTTTTATTTAAGGTACACAGTTGGACCTCAAAACCACCGGTGTACCTTTGGGGGCACATTTACATTTTTAATACTTTAAAGAATAAAGTATTACTGACAGTGTATGACAACATTAATTCAGTTCGCTTCTAGTTTTGTGAGTCAAATACATTTCAAATGCAATATTTTCCATCATTGTTATTAAAAGGAAAAATATGCCAAGCTGAACTGAGGGGCCTCCAAACACACTCTATATGAGTAATAGAAAGTGTTTGTGAATGGTTAGCATGGCCTCTGGGTTTCTTTTGGGCACTGAACTACCGTCGTGTGCAAAAGTTTGGACACCCCTGGTCAAATCACATGCTTTTTTGATTTTTGATTTGAAAAAAGTACACACCTTGTGCAGAGAACACACTTTTGCACATTTCAATACACACATTTACTGTTTGTTTACTTGAGTTAACATATTAAATTATTCAAATATGCCCTGTGCAAAAGTTATGGCACACTGGGTATTCACATATCGCTGCTGTCAAAACAAAATCTCGTATCTCCATTTTTGTCGTTTTTCAGTTTTTGACATAATTTGAAAATAGCTGTTACTCTTTATACTGTATGTAAATTTCATGATGAATGGACCAAAAGAAATGTCCCAAAAATATCTGGAAAAAAGTCTGGTTCCATTGACTTACATTAAAAGTAAAGCAGGTTTTTTCCTTCTCCTGTAAAGTTACCGTTTTGGAGATACAAGGTTTTCTTCTGACAACAGCCATATATTCAGGTTTAGTTTTTTGTTAATAAATAGAAAAAAATAATATAGAAAAAATAGAAATTATGCATTAAAATTTACACACAAAATCCATATTTAAGGTTGTTCCATATACAGGATGTGTTCACATATTTTTACTTAGAAAATCAACAAAGCATATGTTTTATTATTAGCCAGCTGTCATACAGACACACAAGGCACATATTAAAAACAGAACATTGAAAAAACACCATGTTGAACAACACAACACACAAAATATGCACTTTGACTGGGGGTGTTGAAACTTTTGCATGCAGCTGTGTGTTAAGTTCATTCTCCTCAGTAATGAAATGACTCCTAGGCTTGCAGTCAGGTACCTTTTCATGGCAAGCATTTAAGGTAGTTCCTCCCAACCCCCATTCAATCACCATATCTTTCACAGTTTCCTTTCTCACTCTTGTCGTCTTCCACTCTTTCTTCTGTCTATTACCTTCCTTCTATCCCTCCCCTCTTACCGGCCCATCCCCCCACACTGAAATGTTCATACACACACAAGCAGACACACAGACTTTTTCATTGTTAGAGATGACGGCAGTGATAAGAATGCAAAGCAAGACTCAGCTGTCTGTTTGTCTCTCTTTGCCCGAGTTTTGAAACGCCGCTCGGCTGAGGAAGCGAATCAGATCTTCAAAGGCCGTGAGATAGAGCTTAAAACAATCGCTTCTCATTGTCTGCCTGCATGCAGCTCGCAGTAAAACTTCACACAGAGAGAGGAAGAACAGACGCCGAAAGAACAAATGTTTCCTTTTCTAAATGTTAACCTCTGCTGCAAATAACACTGAGGCTAAACTGTGCCAGTGTGTTGTGCATTGAACAAGCTGTGTATACTGAGAGACACTTCTTAGTTCTGGCTGTTTTTGGTCACTTTAGTCACTCAGTACTTTAAGAAAATGTTATGGCAGAAAAACATGACCAAATTTTACTTCTTTAGTTTAACCCTTG